CAGCGACGACCGCCGCGCCTGCTGCGCCCGCTGCTTCTTCTGCCGCGGCCACGACCGCCGCTGCACCTGCCGCATCTTCAGCAGCTGGTACAGCCTCAGAGGCGCAGATCGCTCAGCTCGCTCCCGACCTCGGCTTCAGCGCCGGCGTCAACCCGACCGGCACTGGTGACTGCGATGGCGCTGTGAATGGCGCTGACGGCAAGCCCATCAAGGTGCCCTGCCAATGCCCGCCCGACCAGACCACCTACGTCAACGCGCTCACCGCCGATGTGCTCGCCGGCCACGCCGTGAACAACCCGACTGTCGCTGTCTCGTTCCCCACGGACGACTCGACTCAGAGCCAGATCACGCGCATCAACGCTGCCCTTGTCGCCCTCCAGAACCTTAACGGGTCTGGCAAGGGTTGCCCCGCGGCGTCCACGACTCTGCTCGCACAGCAGAAGACGCTCCAGGCTCAGCTCTGAGTGTCTGTAGTCGTTTCGCGCTTCGTTCTGAGTTCGTCGGATCTCATGTCTTGCTATGATCGTGTTGGGAGGACTTGATGTCCTCCAGGGGTATCATTATTCTTGCTTTGCTTTTCTGTATCGCACGTAGTGCTGCATTCTCAATATACCACCACATGGCGCCAATATATACCAAGCCGGGAGAATGAGCGAGCAAGGAGCGTTTCAAACAGTAAGAGGAAGTGACGAATGTGAGAGGAAGCCATGGATCCCAGGACTCCTGGCGGTCGATATCTCACCAGTTAGCGCGCACAGCTATAGAGTCCAACATGAGTAGAGACGTATCGACGAGCGGCAATGACGACACAGTCTAGAGTCAGGCTGCGGTACAGTAGGACAGAGTTGGACTCGCGCACAGCCGTCGAATCGACACTTCTACTGATGATTCCTCGAGGCCAACCGCTTTCACTGCGGGCTGCGCAAGAGTGGCGTGATACGCGAGCGTGGTTCTTTCGTACAGATATCTCGCTCGATAAAGACCCTAGAAATACTGGGGTGTACAGCTTGACGCAGTCGATAATCGAGAGTACTGAGTAGAGTGTGCGATCCAGCAGGACGCGCGGATCGGAAATTACGGTCCGTGCTCTCTCGATGTATTGTGGACGCAAGTCACGATGACGCTTCATTGTCGTGGAGATAGATGTAGCACACTAGTAAGGTGTGTCCAAAAATGGTTCTGAGAGACATGGAGGTAGTCTCGCAATGCTCACAAGTATCGGATCGCGGAACGGCGTTTGCCGGATCGGTTTCCCACATTGACTGCCTACTGACGCCGACATCGTCCTCAACGGCCTCAATCTTCGACCATGATGATGATCAGTGTGAGCTCGCACGAAGCACGATACGGCGGATTGCATTCTCCAAAACCTCTACACAGACTCTTGAAGGCGTTGGCTCGGATTCACGGACGAGGTGTCTTGGAGAGACAGCTACATAGTCCCGCAGCTATCTAAAAGCGGGTCCACGCGCGGTGCGCGGACAACGCGGCATCGGGCCCTCTAGCATCGTTGATCTGGCTTTCTTCTCGAGCAACCAACTCTATACTCGCGTGCGAATACAGGCCCTTGGACACCTCTCAATCACCGTATAGTGAATGCAGACGTTGACATTTATCAGGTATATGGCATGATTGAAGGGGACGGAGGAAGGGATAACCGAAAAACAACCGCGACTCCGTTCATTCGGAGCCGTAACTGCGGGTTATAGGCCCGCTCCGAGACATCCGATATACTTTTTGCACTGTTGCGCAGCCGGTCCAGGGCGTTCATCGTGCGGAGGCGGTAACGTATATCATGCTCGGGGCAAAACTGCCCGCGAACGCGTTCCCTTTCGCTCGTTGTGATCATGGCTTTGTCTACCGCACTCGCAGCCGTCGCTGTTGCGGCACTCCTACCTTCGACCAGCGCCGCGAGTGGCTCCTATAGCATCATCAAGGACTACAGCGGCAGCACCTTCTTCGACGACTGGGTCTTCTACGGAAATTGTACGTTGTGGCGATTCTTCGCTCGAGCCATCTCTGACCACCTTGACCAGACGATAACTTGACGAACGGAGATGCCATGTGCGTAACCCCTTGATCATTCCCTTCTGCTTCTCTGACACCGTCAATCAGCTTCGTGAATCGTAGCTTGGCTACCTCGGACCAGCTCGCCTACGTGAACGACGCCGGCAATGCCATCATCCAGGTCGACAACACGACGACGGTCCCATACAACTACAAACGCGACACTGTGCGCATTGCCACTGCGGACCAGTACTCGCTCGGATCCCTCTGGGTTGTTGATATGACACATATCCCGTACGGCTGCTCCGTCTGGCCGGCTTTCTGGAGTCAGGCATCCGTATGGCCCCAAGGTGGCGAGGTGAGCCCGCTCCAGGGAATGCTTGTCTTGTTCGTATCTGATCACGCATACAGATCGACATCCTCGAGGGTGTAAACTTGTGCGTTCCTACATCTTGTCACTGTGGCGTAGCAGGATGTTTATACCCGACTGTAGGCAGACCGTAAACGAGATGGCGCTTCACACGGATAACGTGCGTACCTCTGCGAGACTCCGACTGAACGATGCTGACCGCTTGGTAGGGATGTACTATGACGGGTCAGGTGCAGACGGGAACAATCAGCTCCTCGAACTGCTCGTACGAGTACAACTCGAATCAGGGTTGCCAAGTCGTGGACCCCAGCACGAGCTCCTACGGCGAGGCATTCGCAAAGGCGGGAGGTGGTGTCTGGGTTACGGAGTTCTCAACGTCCGCCATCAAGTACGTCCTATGTGCTTCTCTACCAGAGCCTGTCTAACGTTCGTTCGCCAGCATCTGGTACTTCAATGTGAGAGCAAACCCTGTTCTGCTGTATCTTTTCGCTCACCTCAGAACAGAGGAGCTCTGTTCCCTCTAGTATTTCCGGCAATGAGTCGAGCTTATCTACGAGTGACTTCGGCACGCCAACGGCGAACTATCCCAGCACGGACTGCAACATGGAGAAGTTCTTTGCTCCCCAGACTATCATCTGTACGCACCTCACCTGGCACATCTCATGCCGGCCACTGACACTCCTTTACAGTTGATATCACCCTTTGCGGCGGTCCGTCATGAGTCCTTACGGCCTACAGTGACATGCTAAATACTCATCTCATCAATTCAGACTGGGCTGGTTCGAACTCGACCTTCCAGCAGACTTGCACGGGCACTTGCTACAACGACTACGTTATTGTGCGTACCGTGTCTCGAAATCTATCGCTGTCATCGTTTGAATCGTCTTTTTTCCAGGGCACCGCAAGCTACTATAGCACGGCTTATTTCGAGATTAGCTCCTTGCGCATCTACAGCAACGGAACCGATGTTGTCACTGCTGGGAGCGGGGATGGCTCAAGCTCTGGCTCCAGTACCGCGTCTGCCAGCAGTAGCAGCAGCACCAGCTCTAGCGACTCGAATAGCGGTGCGGCGTCGCCTTACGCTCAGGCGCTTACCATCGGTGGTATACTCGCGGCAGGCTCTGCCGCCATCGCTGCGGCTATGCTGTGAGCAATGGGATTGTACACTACATTGGCAGGATAATGGACTGGTACAACGGACTAGCGTTACTGTAATAAGATTTACGTGGAATCCTTACACTCATTTCCAGGCTGGTTTTGGCACTGACTGCCGTAACGACGTCATGCGAAGCATAGGAAGATTAGTTGATCATTGATGTCGGGACACACGGGCACGACGCGCGCTTGGGCTCGGCGTTCGCGTCGAGGGCACGAACTTCCAACGTTCCCCGTCAACCCCCACAAGCGAGCTCCAACGGCATCGTCTGTCGTGAAGGAGACGAGGGCTCTGTGTACGACTTTGTAACAAAACCATAGACGTCCGAAGGTGAGTATATAGATGCGGCCTCCGGGATGCTTCGCGCCCGAGCCCTCCCTTCTTCCCGTTCTGACCTGGTGTCCCCGTTGTAGCGCACCGAAGACTGGTCTCTCGCGCTCTTTCTCCTACACTCTCTGTTAGACTCTTGTTACACATCCGCTCAGACACCAGTCGTAATCTGTCGTTTTTGCTTTGCTTGCTCGCTCCGCATCTGCTGTCCGCCCATGTCGCCGCATCTATTCTTAGCTCTCTTAGGCGCCGTCGCCCTGCCTGTGTCCACCGCAACCGGCACGTACAGCATTGTTGAAGACTTCTCCGGGACAACCTTCTTCGACAAATGGACCTTCTATGATAACTGTGAGTGAATGAAATGTCATGTAACCACCAGTCTGACCGACCATTCCAGTTGATAACCTCACTAATGGCGATGTAATGTGCGTATGGCTGGCTGGTCCGAGCATAGCATCTGGCTGAACAGCAGTAGTTGGGTGAGCGAGGATACCGCGCGCTCAACCAACCTTGCGTATGTCAACTCGGCCGGAAATGCCATTATCAAAGTGCGTAGTATGATCACAGACCGGCCTTCTGTATCTCTGACGGACTACAGGTCGACAACTTCACACAAGTTGCAAACAACCAAAAGCGCAACTCCGTACGAATCTCGTCCAATGACGAGTTTCGCGTAGGATCGGTCTTTGTGGCAGACATGTTGCACGTTCCCTTCGGCGTGAGTATGAAGCTCGTTATACTGCCGATGGCCGTCACTGACCATCACGACCATAGTGCTCCGTATGGCCCGCATGGTGGTCACAAGCGCCCCATTGGCCCGCTGGTGTGATATATCGTGCTATCGATCCTTTGAATCTGAACCGCTCACCATGCTTCAGGTGGAGAGATCGACACGTTTGAGGGTGTCAATATGTGAGTGGATCTTTATCGCTGACTAGCGTTTTCTGACCCGACCTCTCTAGGGTCACCCGCAACCAGTATGCCTTGCATACGGAGGATGTAAGTTCAATGAGCATGTCTTTGCTGCCATTAGCTGAACTGTGATCCCAGGGCTGCACGGTCTCGAATCCACTACAAACCGGTATCGATAACTCGACCAACTGCGCGGCATCTGCCAACTCCAACCAGGGCTGTGTCGTGACTGATGTCAATACGCAATCGTACGGCGAGGCGTTTGCATCTGCGGGCGGAGGTGTCTTCGTGACAGAGTTCGCGGAGTCCGGTATCAGGTATGTGCGAGCCTCTGTGCGCCGGTACTGTACTGACCTAATATCCTCAGCATCTGGTTCTTCTCCGTAAGCGGCACTTTTCATTCGGAAACACATCGATTGACTGACGCCCGTACAGCGAAGCGAGGTTCCTTCATCCCTGACCGGAAACTCGTCTACAATCGACACCAGCGCCTTTGGAACTCCATCAGCGAACTATCCAACGGACAGCTGTAACATCGACAAGTTCTTTGCCGCTCAGCATCTTATCTGTACGCCTTGTCATGTTCTCAGCTTTGAAGAAACCCACTGACTGTCATATTCTAGTCGACATCACATTATGCGGCGACTTCGCGGGCAACGCCGCGGTGTTCGCACAAACATGCTCTGGTTCGTGCTACTCAGACTATGTCATTGGCGCACCAAGCAACTACGACAACGCATACTTCGAGGTGCAGCACGTCCGCGTGTACGGCGGCAACGACACAGTTGTACCTCCCAGTGAACAAGGAGCGGCCGCAACAATAAGGCCGTCATTATGGCAGATGTTCAAGCTCGTTCTTTTCAGTATGCTTATACCGCTATGGGCCGCTTGATGTGATCCTTGCGTTCTCGAGACAAGGACTCTTCACATTGCTTTATTGGACTTCACATACTGTACCTTAGCATACGCATATTAGACACGAAGGACGTTCCGCTGAGCGTTTGGTACGGCATCCGAGGGCGCGCCGGCATGCCGATGATAACGTCGTTATCAGACCGCTTATCATGCTACTATTTAGGGGCATTGGAGGCTATCTAGGCGCCGCGCTACAGCTTCTCTTCTACTCCCATCAACAGCTCAGCTGGGTGGCACTGCCCAAGGAAACGAACTAATAGCGTTACTTGGATCTCCAACATAGTCTTGTCATGTCCGGTTTGAAACCTGTATCCGCTAATGGCGAGGCAACGACCTATGCGGCTCTCAATCGCGAAAAGTCTCCCCTCTTGCTCTTTGCCACCCAGAGGACGGAGAGCGCGTTCAACGAGATACCAGTGATGTACACCCAGCCCTTCAAGTACCTGTACTATCGGGTTCTCAGACGCGTCTAGCGATCTACAAGGAGCCACAAGCACAAACTTGCAAACGAAACGCGCGCTTGCCGATCTCATCCGCGACGCATGCGTGAACGTCGGTTTCTTCTACGGTCAATCCCACTCGCCTGTAGTTCAATCCTTCAGCATGACTGAAGCGATCTACAGTCACCAATCATGGTATACCTGATGATCTTGCACCGGAAGCTATCGAGTACGCAAAGAAGTTCTTCGCGCTCGATCTGGACGAGAAAAAGAAGGTGAAGCCTCTCGAGTTCCTAGACGCCGAACGGCCAACCCTGAACGGCTGCTTCTCCCAGTTCGATATCCACAAAAGCTCAAACTTCAAAGGGTACACCGCTCTTTTGGGAGAGAACACTGACCCCGAGAACCGCGGCGACCTGCACGAGGGATTTGACATTGGCTGGGAAGAGCGAGATGGCAGGAGCCTTCGCTCGGAGGATGGCGCAATGGAAGGCGGTAACGTCTGGCCCAACATCGACGGCTTCCGTGAAGCTGCATTGGCGTACTAGTCAGTGAAATGCGCCCTGGGATCATCGGTGCTTGACTCACGTCGCTAGTCATGCTACCGTGCGCCTAGGGAAGTATCTGTTCCCTTTGTTTGCTCTAGCGTTGGACCTGCCGGAGGACTTCTTCGATGACAAGGTTTGCAGTTCTATCCCTGTGCTTCATCACCAAGGGTTGACACTGGCCATGCTCAGACGACAAACCCTGCTGCAATCATGAGACTTCTGTACTATCCGCCGCAGACTGGGACGGTCGACGATCGCGTGCTGGGAATCGGAGCGCATACAGAGTACGTCCCCCGTCCCTCGCTAGAGGCAGGCTCACTGATCGAATGCCCTGATCCAGCTACGAGGTGAGTGTACTGTGAATGAGAGCTTGTAGACGAGGAGGCTCAAGCACAGTAGTGCTTCACAATCCTCTGGCAGCAGAATGGCATCCAAGCCCTCCAAGTACTGAACGCTGACGGCGTGTGGGTTGATGCGGTGCCCATCCCAGGGACATTAGTCGTCAAGTAGGTACACCTAGCTTATGGCCCGTTGGATGGCTGCCGATCCTGTTTATACAGTATCGGCGACCAGCTGGCGAGATGGACCAGTGAGTGGTCCTGTCATTGAATGAACGAATGCCGTCTGAAGCCTTCCGAAGACGACGTCTTCAAGTCCACACGGCATCGCGCCGTTAATCGGTCTGGCGTGGAACGTCATTCAATCCCTCTCTTCTTCGGCACGGACTACAACGTTCTTCTCGAGGTACGCCCTTGTCGGCTTAGCTGTGAAAGCGATATTGACGACCCTCGTTAGGCTTTGCCAAGCTGCGTTTCGGATGACATGCCGAGCAAGTACGAGCCCGTAATCGCCGGAGACTACGTTAAGCAGCGGTTGGAGGAGACGTATGCGCACTCGAAGTAACATAGGTTATATCTCTTAGTACGTGGAAGGGAACAGTGATAGGCGACCCCCATCCGTGAGATGAACAGTACCATCGACGTAACTTCCTGCCTTGCTGGCCAAGAATAGGATGATACCGGCTGCATCGTTCGCTGAACCTGCACGTCCAAGAGGAACGCCCTGCTTCACCATGTCATCTGAGAGCAAGTTCTCCGTCATCTCTGTACAATGCTCAGTGATAGATCATCACTGCGGGCGCTGCACAAACCTGAAGGGTACAAGCCGGGCGCGATCACATTGCTCCTGATCTTGAAGTCCTTGAAGATGGCGGTGAATGACTTGGCAAGATGTGTCACCGCGCTCTTGCTGGCCGGGTAAGACAACGAGAACAGGTTATCATCACGTCTAAAGCCAGCGATGCTGGCAACTGTGATGACCTGGCTGGTCGGTTCTCCCGCGGCGCGGCGGGCGTTGCCCGCTGCGAGCAGATCAAGGAATGCTACAGTCATGTTGAAGACAGCAGTGACCTGGGCCAGACTGAGTCGACTTTCAGAGGGTAAACGGATCGCACGCTCTCACGTTGACATCGAATGTCTTGCCCCAGTTTTCTGCCGTACCGGAGGCCCATAACTGGGCCTGAAGCTCCTTGATGTCGCCAGTATGTGAGCCAGGTTTGTGCGTAGGGACTACGATGCCAGCGTTGTTGACGAGGAGGTCGATGTACCTAGATCGATCTCGATCAGTAAACTATATCCTCATGGAAGAAGCACTTCAAGGGGAGAGGATGGGCGATCCTTAAGGGACTGGACTCACCCTTCCCTCTCACGTATTGTCGACGCAAGTGCAAGTACAGAGTCGCGAGAGGTGATGTCGCATTGTACCGGGATGATCTTTCCGTTTCGCTTCAGAGACGGTGGTCAGTACGGCGTTTCATAGGAAGGGGCTTAAGGTATACATTATTTTCTCTAGCAGCCTTCTCGAGCACGTCGACTCGGCGACCTACGTGTGATCACTGAAGAGTCCATCCAATGCGCGCTTTCGCCAAGTCGACATACCAACGATGTACACTGTTGCTCCATTGTTCTCGAGCGCAGCTGCCATCATAAGCCCAATTCCTGTAAAACACCATCAATACTACAATTCTCATTCGTACATGTAAATGGCACGAACCGGTACCACCGCCAGTGACCACGGCGACCACGCCCTCAACTCCGAATAACTCCGAAGCCGACAAGATCTTGGAAGACGACATCTCGATGGTCAATGTTTTAGAGGACCCCGGACGGAGAAGAGGTCGCAGCACTGGGCGTTCTTATAAGAGCTAGATTGATCAGGAACCGGGCCCGCATGGTCCGTTATGTTCGTCATTCGAACATAGATAACCGCTGATGCAAAAGGAAATCATCATGGACTTCATCGATGAAGAATGTTCACGAAGGCGCTGATGCACTCAGCCACGCCGGCGTTGCTGAGTGGTGTAGAGTTAACTCCGATGACCGTCTAGAGGTGCCGAGTTTGAAACCCACAATGGCACGAAGCGGAGGCCCACCGAATTCCATAGGTGTAATGGGAGCACTCATCCTCTCAAGGACAAGAATCACACGTCGGGGGTAACTCTATGTTAAACACCACTCAGCCATGCCGGCGCGGCTGAGTGGTGTGTAACAAATTGTCGCCACATAGGTGCTGACATGTACAGGATGAGATAGTGCGATTGGGTGTGATGAGAGCAACGGTGGGATGGTAGTAATGTACACACAACGATGAGATCCGACAAACAGATAGCAATGTAGACAACAAACGCACAGCGCGAGCTTAGGGGACCGGAGATCAGCTGTTCTTGCTCATCCTCATACGGGTGCCAAGAACCAAGTTGGCCTTCGCCGTCGGACGTCCATTAGTACTGATGCCGGGGAAAGGCAAGGTCTTCTTCGGGGACTCCTGCATGCGCAGCTTCTTGGTAGTTTGATGCGAGGTGGCTGCCCAGTCTGACCTAAAGCTGTTCCCATAGAGCTCTGCGACTGGACTTGAAGGGACATGTGGGAACCTCAGTTTAGCGCGAGGCGGTGATGAAGACGAGCCGCGGGGAGGCGACGAGTTGATGTCAAGGTCGTCTAGCTATCATCTATGGTGAGCTGAGAGTCCGACATTGATAATGCCAAACGCACTTTACGCCGCTTCTGGAGATGCGGTGACTCTTCGTAGTCGTTATGATACACGCTGTAGTCGCCCACCACCAAGCTTTCTGGCTCATTTTCGTAGACAGCGACAGAGCGTGCGTCATCTTGAACAGCAATCTTCTCCTGCAAGTCTGTGACCTGTACACGAAGTTGTTGCGCTTCGGCCTTGTATTTCTTGTTTCTTGCCGAGATCGTGAGCAGCTGTGCGAGTAGTCGATGAGTACACCGTCTTATAGGTAAAATGTCAACGTACCTTCTCCTTGTTCTGATCCAGCATTGCACTCAACGAGTCTCTGTTCCTCGTCAACTCCATCACCCTCTTCCGCAGCTCCTCACACTCCCGTCGTACCCTCGCCAAGTCGCCAGCTTGAGCACGTGCCGCCGCCTCTCGCTCCTCGACACCACCCAAACGGTTATGTAGTCGCGCGTTATCATCCTCAAGTCGGCTGATCATCTTGGCCCGTTTATCCAGTTCCACTTGGTGTGCAAGGGCGGCACTCTCTTGAGTAGCCTGTATCTCGCTGATACGTTCCCGTAGATCCAGAACTTCGGTATACACCTCGACGCCTTTAGTATTGAACCAAGATGCAACCACCCCGACTAGTTGACCCTGCCCACAGATGTGAGTCTGGCTATATATCACGCCGAGCTGGCCAATAGGCTCACCAGAACCGCAACATCATCGACCTCCCGAAACGTCTCGATCTTCTCCGCCGCCGTCTCTACGCTCGTTACCGGCGCCTCCGGTCCGAGTCTATCCAGACCTTTCTTGACATGTCGTAGCTGTTTTCTTAGCGCATCGTTGGCGGCATCTCCGTCATTGGCATCTTCTCCGGGAGGCAGTTGCGAAGCGCTCGACCCGTCCGCGAATTGAATGAAGACTGGTCGTAAATCCTTCTTAGATATTGGCCCGGTACGACATTGCGGACAGCTCGGCTGCGGACCGCGCTTTCTTTTGGTGGCATCGATGTGTCCGATGATGCAAGGTTCACAGAACGCGTGGCCTGAAGTACACGTTCAGTACTATGTGGCGAGTACAGCGTATGCACGTGCACGTACCGCAAGGCAGATTGCGCAGAGCACTCACAGCAAGATTATCTTCCAGGCATATCGTACACGTTACGCATACCATATCATGTGGTAGACGCGGATGCCGCGTTCGTGGTGGCTCGTGGTGGTTCGTGGCGAAGTCGCGCCGCGCGACGCGTCCGGGGAATGTGATATCTCACGTGCCTTGTTGATTGGCTTCTATTTATCGGTTTTATTCGCTCAATGCCTCCAGCGCTAATTTGAGGCCACATCATACAGTACAGTTGATTGCTGTCAGATAAGTGCATGGATTTCATACGCAAGGCGCGTCTATGATGAAGGTAGCATTCGACCGCGCGTAACCATGCGGGTCCGACCGAATTATAATCTCCTCCGTCGAGAACTGCACGAACACTTCGAACTTCCCTTCCTCATCCCCTGCCACTTCGACTGTTGTCCGGTTCGCCCAGACATCTACCGCGACGCCATTTCGCTTCCACTCCGATACATAGGTGCCCCTCTGCGACAAGTCGACGAGGTCCAATGCGAGTATCCGCGTCCATTTGTCCGTACTACCCTCGACGAGGGTGCAGGTAGCAGTTGCGGCGTCTATCGGATCGACTCGTGAGAGTAACGACATCCATAGGTCCTCAATGCACACAGAGCAGAATTGAGGCTCGTTTGTGATGCGCATCAAGCAGTCTTCGTTCGTAGGTCGGAGCCGCGTCATGTTCGAGCTGTCGAAGGTCGGGAATGCGCCGTAGAAGCCAGGTGTGGCATTGAACCTGCAGCGCCATGGATCAGCACAGATCGCAATCGATTGCATCAACAGCACTAACTCATTAGGATGGCCGTACTCTAGTATCTCGAGGCTGCACAACTGTGCGTGACCTTCGAGTGTGGCGTCGTTCAGCTTGAAGGTGATCTGGTGCGAGCCACCCGGGAGAGACACATCTCTGTAGATGTCGTAGTGCCATCGGTCCAGCCCGAGATCCTCTTTGGCCTTCCATCCGATGTCTTCCCCATCAATTAAGACATTCAGAGCATCGGAGTGCGGCAATCCTGAGAGGGAGAATCGCACGAGGTGGCGTGCGTATGAGCCAGCAGATACGAAGGTGGTGCTCCATGCGCTGCTCGTGTTGAGCATCGTCCAAGCATAGTCTTGCAGTGGCATCACAACACGCTCAGCGCGAGGTCTGCTCCCATCAGCGGGAGATGAAGTCAACCAGTGCTCCCAAGGTAAAGTTTGCTCGACAGACGGCGCCGTGTTGACCCCGAAATACTCATCGGCGTCTCCACCATCATATTCTTCTCCAGCATCGATGATGTTGTGCCCCAGCTCATGGCGCAGTACCAGAGGGCCATTCACCGGTGACGGCGTTATCGTTCTATGCACGGTTAGTTCCGAAGGTGATGAATTTGCCGGTACGACTCACACAAACTCACCATTCATACCTGTACGACAGAGTCAGTGTGAGGTTTAGAATAAGAGTGATCTGGGTGAAGACGCATACCGCCATATAACCTGTCGTTACCTACGAAGACGGGATAGTCGCACTTCGTCCTAAGTGAATCGCAAGCCGCTCTCGCAACCTCTGGCTTGGACCACAGCACGCCTCTCAGTTCCGTGCCAGGTCTATACAAGCCGAAAGGCGTACTGTCAGATATGCGTGTCAGAGCAGATGGTGCATGAAGGTTCAAAGATTGAACTCACTCCAGCGGTGTCCCATGACTGCCCACGCCACTCTGTTCGGGTTCAGTGCAAACTCACATCAGCAGAAGCAGAGCTTGATGCACCTCTTTGCTCGGCGTGTACGCGGCCCAAAAGTTTAATAGTGGGGCAACGGTGTAGAATGTCTGATTCCTGGCTATAGCCTCTACTAAGAAGCGGACGTCGTCGAAAAACTGCCCTTCCTCTTCGGGGACGTCTGAGAGGGATGTCAGTAACCCTATCCAAGCAAAAAGCATCACCGAACGAGATGTACTCACAACCATCCGAGAAGAATGTTAGATGGACGCGATTGTCCGAGGACCCGGAGCCGGAGATCAGGCGGACATCCATGGGCGGAACCTCGACTTCTGCTGTGGGCGGCGCTCTCAGAATAGCCTGGGTATTGGATGGTGCATTCAGAGCGGTCGGTCCGCACAGCAATTCAAGTTCGCGTCGCAACGGTGCCTCGTCGTGAGCGAACATACTGATCAGCTCAAGGGGCGCCTTGCTGTTGTCGCTTTGCGCGCGCCTGCGCGTTGTGATGACCTCAGGCGCACTGGGTTGGTCCAGCAGACGATGGCGTTGCCCTTTGCGAATACGAGCGTGCTCGCAAGTGCCAGCTGCCACATTCCGGTTCACCCTTAACTCAAGAGTGGTCGCTTCGCTTCTGGCTGTGACCACGCCGAGCACGGCTGCGAGGAGGAAGTACAGCTTGAAGGCGCCAAAGAAGGGCAACATCTTGACTGGCACTTGAGCGCGTACAATACCGGCCCACCCTCAGAGTATCGCGTGATGGTGGTTCGGGAGTCGGTATCGCCGGATTCGACGTGCTCATCGAGGTCGAGGGCTTATCGGCATTGATAGATACACGGTGCACATGATGGTCACCGGAGACAGGAAGAGCGCCCGCTGCTAGACTCTCCCGGGCTCCGCTCCCATGTCATCGTTCGCTCGCTTCTCTGCAAAAGATGCAATATTCGGGTTGAAGCCTTGGTAGTATGTGTTGAGAGGATCGTGAACGCCACGCAGGGCCATGCAGAGCTGCAAGTCATCAGGAATCCGCGCCGCGAAGTCGGCCGTTCCCGCGTGGTTGCCGCGGCAGAGCGCCAGTGTTGCGGCGGTCAGTGACTAGTCACCGTCAGTCATGGCTAGTCGCCGTCGCGGCCATGACCGCGGGCACCCTGACCACGACTATTTGATCTGAGAGCTGAAACGCGGTGGAAATTGCTAGACGCGGGGCGACACTCGTCGGCCACGTCGGGCCGGCTTCGGGCATGCTTCGGGTGGTGTCGGTCGCATGCGCGACGCTCTTCGGCGTTCGCCGCGCCGCGACTTGCTCCTGCTATCCTCACAGCCGCGGTGCCTGACAAAGTCATCGCGGGCATGACTAGCCATGGCTAGCCACGGTCATGCCCGTTGGGGCTGACCGGGACCAACACCACTTCGGTCGTGACCGCGCAACACTGCAGAGCGCTGCCGAAATTCGAACGGGTTGACTTCAGACCACCACTAGCACCACAGCGGCGATGGGTGTTAGTTGCTCGCAACCCTAACCGCTACTATTTTCTTTTGCTGAAACCTTCCGTGCGGTCAAGAGACAGACCTCACAACGTAGTTGGTGATATAGTAGGACGCCCTCGCTCCCCACCTGCCACATGCGCCGTCATGCGTGTCCGCGAACGAAGGCTGCCACCGATACGTATCATGTTGCGGCTGAATCATCACCTCCGAAGGCTGAACGACACCGCCGGCGTCTTATTGGCGCGTATACACGACAGGACTCTCAGGATCAGGACAAGAACTGTTGGAGTCACGGCCACTCACACTACGTCCGAATCATGGCCAGGTCGCTTCTACGAAGCAGGATGCCCATCTGTCTCAAAGCAAGATAGATGATACGGCTCATGATACTGCTTTAAGAAGTGTCGTCGTATGCTCCCTAGAAATACCACTTCGATCCCACTCGTTGCTGTCCGCCATGTTCATGCCCTCTCCCGCTGTCGCGAAGTTTCGCGTCTGTTTGCTATGGCATTGTCTATTCATAGCTGCTGTCTATACCCAAAACTTCACCATACCATCGAATTGGCAGGTTCGTTTGATGACTACGCCTTCATACGAGTGCGATGAGTGACTGACTGCCGGGCGCTGCAGAGTACAGTCTCGAGCACAAAGTCCCAGTTCAGCAAAGCACAATGCGAGCAATTGGCGTCGGGAGGAGCCGAGACAATAGCTGGCTTTATTGATGTCGATACGGGTTCAATCTCAGGTAACACCGCGTTATCCCCATGGTGCCAGTGCAGAGGCTCATATATTCGTGCTACAGTGTTGGATGCAATCACAACTGCCGGTCTAGCCGCCGTACTGACTCTACAAGACTACTATAGCGGGAATCAAACATGGAAAGATCAAGTGCTTCAGGAGATACTTGGCAAGTATTCGGCGATGCACCCCACCTACTCAGACGGTGCCCAGTGAGTTGCCTCTATATTGCCCCTTAACATAGAGTGACGTATTTCAAGGTATGGAGTAGGTCATATCCGACTGCGAATTTGTGCGAGCTACTCACGACGCTGAATAGACTTGGTCGCCGGATACTTTGTGAGCAGGTATTACTCTGACTAATGTCGTGATATTGATGAGATGAGCTAGGCATTTTGGTTTAGCCGCATACTATGCCTATCGCGCATACAATGATTCCACGGCACTTCAACTTGCGGTTACGAATTGGGAGCTCGCGTATGCAGACTTCATGACTGCGCAGCGTGCGCAAGCAGGGACGTTCCCTGGTGCCTCAAATTTCACCAGCAACTGCTCGGGTATGTATCGTTAGATGCTATATTGTCAACGCTGCTCACGATCCTATAGCGAAAAGCGTCGGCGGCGTCTTCACTGTGAGCGCGTTCCCGATATCGTATGTCGGAGACTGTGGTATGACAGGATATCCAGCGGCCACCGATGGGGATGAACGCGGAGATGTCTACGGATAGTTCTGGGTGTGTGACCTTCCTTGATCATGGAGTTGTCTGACCCAACGATCCTCGTCACATAGCATGATGATATCGTGAGCCATGCAACCACATAACGATCGTCGGTTTGAGGGTCTGACCCTCCGTTCTCGGTTCCCAGTCTGTCGGGCTACCTATACAATGCGACACGAAACGCCACGTATCTTGAAACGGCCGAGCTTGGAGCAACTTTCATGCAAAGTAACGCGTACCATCCCGGTAACCCTATCCCAGCCGGCATCAATGCCTCAGATTGCACAATACAGGACCCCAATGTACGTACAGAACTCGTACTGTAGCCGCCTGTGCTGACCATCTGCAGATATTTTCTTGGAACACCGGTCTATACATCCAGGGAATGGCTGTACTGGCTAGCATCACCGGGAACACCAGTTACTCAAACATGTGAGCACTCTCAAACTCTACGCAACTAGTTGCAAAGCTCATGAACATCGTCAGTCTCAACGATCTGGTTGGGCTCGCTGGAAACGCCTCGTGGACTAGCACAGAAGATGGTCACATGACTGAGTACTGTGCGTCGACCTGTGTGCTAAAGTAAGCATAGCACCTAACGACTCATTGTCTAGTTCCGAGCTCCAGTGCCCCGGCTCCTTTCAATGCATACAAAGGTCGCGTAATAGCCCGAAGGCCATGTAGCGGCGTTCTGACCGGCTGCAGGTGTCTATATCCGCGCACTGGCAGAGGTTATTCGTCTCAACCCGGGATCAGCGATGGCTGAGTTCATCCAGGCGTACATCATATCACAGGTGATGTTACGCCCATTCCAACGCATCGCTTCTCCCTCGCTGATTCGACCGATTAGCTGCATGCAGTCACGCAGTCGGCATACACTGCAGGCACGAACTTCTACTCCACCGACTGGAATGGCCCTCCCGCCACCGGCTTCGATGCTCTCGGAAGCATCGCGGCCTTGGATGTGCTCAACCCGGCTTTCGCCTTATCATCCTTTAGCGTCACCGGATCCTCATCAGCCACAACCGCGAGCTCGATGCCCTCTACGAGTGGGACGTTGACCACAAGCGCAAGTCCGGATAGTGGATCGCGTCATGGAACAACCTCATCATCGGTTGGAGGCATCGTGGGAGGCGTAGTTGGTGGGATGGCGGGATGCACGCTGCTGGTGTTGGCAATGCTTTGTGTACGTCGATACAAGCGCCAAGGCTTAAACGTCTCGCATGCTCGCCCCAGTCAAACGGCGCCATCCCGGAAACGTCTCCATGCGACAAGCCCGGAACCATACATGCTGGAACATCCGGGTATAGTGCGCGTAACGAAAGGTGGCACTGGCGCCATCGATGGCACTACTTTTGTGGGCTCCGCGTCGGGTCCTTCGAGATGGGCTGGCGAAAGTACAACGAGCTCGCGTACGCTACCGGAAGCCACAGGAGGGGATCCCCGCGACATGGAAGCAACTCTAAGTGATTTCGTAAATCGTATCCAACGTCTCCGGGCAATGGTGTACACTATGCCGCGTCACACGTCGGACGAGCAGCCACCGCAGTATACCGACTGATTATATGCTGTTTTCCGAGGCTACCGTACCTTTTGTATATATGACCTATGAATGAGGATATGACATCAGCACCTACTCATATGTAGAGAAGTTGTCAGTTTATCACGACACATAAGATCCAAGGGGACTCCTTGATCTATGTACTGTACGTGCACGTCGGTGCACACGATGATGGGCACCGACGGAGCCCGGGAAGGCAACGATCGCAAGTTTTGCACAAGGGGAGCTCTCCGTACATGTACATACAGCCGTCTACACTTCGTTTGGGGTCAACAGACATGTTATCAGCCATACAGGTCAACTAGCGCGTCCGTCGATTAAGGGTCTACGCGGGCAAGGAGTGAAAGGCTATCCGGACTCCGGATCGGAGGGCCCGGAGTTGTTCCCACGGACCCACCTTGGGCGTTCGTTCCCGAGTTGAGCGCGGTCTAAAACCACCATGACCTGCACCGGCGTTGCCTTTGCCTTTGCCTCTGTCCAATACCGGGTCCAACACCGGACCACAGGTGGACGGGGTGTGACTATTGCATACCTAGACTCTTCGATAACTGTGGGAGAACGCTCAGTGAACGACCTACCGTACGATCCCAACGGGGATTTCTCGTATGTATAGCCGCGTCCTGTTCTGATGAGAGCCACGCTTCTGAGAGCAGAGCCCACAAAAGTAGCTGAGTAGGCGAGTTATGTCGGATGGTTTCTCAGGACGACATACAACGCGGGGCGCTCTCATTCTGCTTACGGACGAAGGCTGTTCCCGATGCGGGTCACGACGCGGTCGTGTCATTGCCACTGAATGTCGATCAATACAATCAATACAACTGGTGTCTTCCCGCTTCGCATAAACGGCAGGTCTCTCAAGATCCAGAACACAAGTTGCGATACACTTGCAGTCTTCAAGCTACTTGGGGTATTGTCAACGCGGAAAGTGGGTGCTCATCTGTCATCCGTATCAGAGGTAGGCGGCGATACAGCTTTCAGGCTTGCTATAAGAGCTAGAGAGCGCTGACACGCTTCAGATACCTTCCGGATTTACTTCATCCCTGACCTCAGAGAATGCCTATTCGCACCACCGGTCTTCACCGCTTCGCACTACTCTGGGTCTGCCTTGGTGCTCTGGGAGCGATGGCCCAGACTCTGACGGTGCCGTCGCACTGGCAGGTGATTGTCCATTAATCGTATACAAGACGAGCGATGCTCAAAGATATATTGTTCGTTAGGATATCAACGCTCAAGTCGAGTCTGAGTATCCGAAAGCACGACGCGAGGCGATGGCAGCAGCAACGGCTCAGTCGTTGGTGGCGCACGTAAATTTGATCAACGGCTCTATTGACGGTATGCAGTATCGCGGCAACCGCCGAGATGATGGCTACAAAAGATGCTGAAAAGCATGCACCTTAGGACTGGATCCTGCCACCACTGCCAGTCTGGCCGCTACACTCGCATTCCAGGACTATTACAGTGGTAATGTCTCGTTCAGGGACGAAGTTTTGGGTGATCTGCTAGGCAAGTATTCAACCTCACATCCGATTCTCAACAATGGCTACGCGTATGTCATTTTTCAATTCAAGCGACTACGCCGACTGACGCACCGTTAGATATGGGGTGAGCTGCGCATTCGACCTGGATTTCACCTAAGCTACTCACAGTCACCGCGCAGGCATGGTCTCCAGATACACTGTGAGTGTATATCGCCAATTCATTTTGCAATGTTAGTCAACGCAAATAGCCACTTTGGTCTGGCAGCATACTACGCCTATTTAGCTTATAACGACTCGACGGCTCTGCAACTTGCTGTAGAGAACTGGCAACTTGCGTATACCACAGACTTCATGACCGTGCAACGCGCTCAGTCTGGAGTCTTCCCTGATGCTATCAATTTTGATACCAACTGCCCTGGTATGCATTGCTGTATCTCACTCGCATGCCAGCTGAGATCGTGGTAGCAAAGGTGGCTGGTGGTGTTTTTACAGTACGTGGCCAACTTTTCGTCGTGTTGCGAGCTGAGTATAACACAATGCACAGATGATACCAGAAGGGACAAGCGCAGAGATGTCCACGGATAGTTCTGGGTATGTACTATTCTACATCGACTGTGCGCCATATGTCCACCGATCTCTAACTACTCATGCGCTTTTGAGTAGCATGATGATCTCGTAAGTGAATCAGACACATGATTGGTGACGGTCATTTTCATTTCCCGGTAGTCTGTCAGGATACCTATACAACATAACTCGGAACACAACATATCTTGACTCGGCTGTACTGGGAGAGAGCTTCATGCACAGCAACGCATATCAATCCGGCCAGCCGATACCGGCCGGGGTCAACGCGACAGATTGCATGGTGCAAGATACTGATGTCCGTATTGAGTTCCTGTTTCTGACTGTCTATGCTAATCCTCGTCAGCTCTTCACTTGGAATACCGGCCTATATCTCCAAGGAGTGGTTGTGTTGGCTAGTATTACAGGGAATGGTAGCTATCTGACGATGTGAGCGCGCACTGGATCTTGACATGATTGCACATCACTGAGTGCACCAATGAGTGTCGATGATCTGGTGCAACAAGCAGCGAGCGCCGCCTGGACGAGTTCAGAGGACGGCCACATTACAGAATTCTATGGTGCGTGATTGCGTATCTGTCCGCACACTGATACGTAAAACTGATCCCCGTCCAGCGACCAATTCATCCGGTGCGCCTGGCGCCCACAACGCATACAAAGGTGATCTCCCTTTCGAGGTCTTTTGTGATACACAGGCTCATAGATCGTAGGCTTCTATGTTCGCGCATTGGCGGAAGTTGCCCGTCTCTATCCTGGAACTCGCAGGGCCGAATTCATCCAAGCATACATCGGGGCGCAGGTTGTCTCGCACTCTCTACAACCTTCTCATTACTGATCAGTGATACCACGAACTAGTTGAACGCTGTCCTCAATCTGAGTAGTACACCAGATACGAACTTCTACTCGCCTGATTGGAATGGCCCTCCCGCATCCAACTTCGACGCTCTGGGTGCCGTCGCGGCTCTAGATGTTCTCAATCCGTCATTCGCATTCGCATCTGATACGTCTACTGCCGGTACTACGAGCACTAGTACTGGTGTAAGCCCAACCAGTGGAGGGCTTTCGAGTTCGACCCGCCATATGACGTCAACTGGTGCCATTGCCGGAGGCGTGGCTGGGGGAATAGTTGGTTGCGTGTTGGTTATTGTAGGCATGATCTACATCCGTAGACGCAAGCGGCGCAATCGCTTGAGTCATTCGCTTACTTCGGACGACGTAGAGCCTGCTCCCGAGCAAGTACGCGAGATGGACCCCCATCCTTTCAAGCTCTATCATTCAAACAGCACGCGTCCACCTAAAGGCAGCACCGGAACGCCTCTCGCAAACCCCGTGCCTATCTCTGCGCCCTCTTCAAGCTCGCAGATACCTTCGATACCGGTTCCCGAGGGTGCGACGAACGCGTTCACGACATCCGCTGGTCGTGGTTCTCAACCCGGAAACGAAGTAGAAGCGTTCGTGATGGATTTTGTGAGCCGACTACAGTCTATGGTGCATATGCGGCGGCAAGGCGCAGATGAGGAACCGCCACGCTACACCGACTAGCTATATGCATCGTTGTGAATCCTCTACAGTTCATTGGCGGGAACCAAGTTTATGTATCGTACATGACAGAGTACAAAAAATTGCCGCGGAGAGCAAACATGCAGGGATTCTGGGGTCGGCCACAATAAGCCGGCGCGACGATCAGGGTGCGCGAACTTCCGTTATGTGTAGTGTGTACCAAGGTTGTCGGCGTGCCCAAAAGGGCGGCGAGGACGGGGAAACGGTGCTCGACGTTGTTTAGCGAGGCGGGATGTCACGCAATACGCGGTGCCACGTGCGCGCGCGGGCGCATCGACTGCGACGTTGAGCGAAGCTCAAAGAAGAGCGGACCGTTGAATGACATGGTGGATGATCTTCCGAGTGTCATCTGCGACAGCCGAGACCTTCCCGAGGTCCAGCTCATCAGGGTACGCGTCGCCATTCGCCCGACCCTCACATCGCGGCTGCCAAACGGAAGTACCAGATGGCAAAGCGTCGTAAAGCGAATCGCAGTCGAGCCGCACAGGCAGGCTAAGGAAGGGTTCAGGGAACTCCTCCCGTCCATCCGCGGGTCGAAATGCAGCGTTCAACCGGCCTCTAGCGATGTACACAACGCAAGGCCGATACTTCCGCGGATAGCTGGCATCGTAGTACCGGAGGACAGAGAAGCGATAGCAGCGTTCACGGCTCGGGTTACCTCTGCCGGCTTTGCGAGGGAAGAGGTGACAGAGCCGCACAGGTGGGCCGCGATGCGAGCCAGGCCATACACCGGGCGCGAGATCCATCTGGAGCATGTAGTACTGTCTGTTGTCGGTCGGTCGTTCGACACCGTAGTTCGTCCCTTCCATCTCGTTGCTCGAGATGGCGCGTAAGGTAGCCGGGATACCTGTTTCGGGTGATGATCCTATGCAGGCCGCAAACCGTGCCGGCCGCGGGAACGCAGACGGTGAGAGTCGCGCCGTGAGAGCTAAATACTGATGAGCGATTATATCGAGAGATGTGATCGTAAGACATACCGGCTTGAGTGATAGTCCTGTGTTTGCGCGCTAGTAGCCATAGCGTCTCCTCTTCTTCATCCGAGTGCGATGAGCTATCCCAGTGCGCGAGATCCTCCCTTGTGCCTTCGACCATCCTGAAGAAAACGAACCGCCAACGCCTGGATCCGTGCGGCTGTCACTGATCAGCACATGCTCACGCATAGTGAAATGAGATAGGCACCTGCACTTCGATATGCACATGCTGGACGGGAGACCCAACGTCCTTGCGATATGGCCGAAGGGGTATGATCCTCTCTATGTGGGACCTTCTGCCGTCGCATGTGAAGACTTCTTCATCGACGCTCACTTTCTGCGTGAGCTTCCGCATATCCACGCCAGGTAAGAGGCCGGGGACGTGGTTCGCGAAGAAGAGCCCTGTATGAGGCGCAATCAGTAATGTCCAGACAAGGCTAGGTGGACACAGAAGCAGACCTGCTAGTGGACCACATTTTCTTGCTTCCCATACCTGCCGCGCCCGCCAGTCGGCCCCGATCTCGTCGCGATCATACTGCTCCGGGTTATCGACGTGTTGAAGAAGTCCCTCCACCGCGGCAGGTATTCTCCGCTCAATCTCATGGATACGCTCCAGAATGATCTGCCTCTCCTGGGCAAACCTAGACCGGAACGGGTTCCTATCGACGTTGGAAGACAAGGGAAAGTTGCGCATGTGAACGCGGGTGACGATGTGGATGATGGTGGCTTCGATCGTCGTGGTGACCTGGTGCACGAACATCGCCTCGTTCCAGCCCGGCGGAATCTGATGAGGTTCGGGGCGCCAGATCTGCACTACGGTGCCGAGCATGATATCTGAAGGCTCGGTATCGCGACGCGTTAAGTCGAGGAGGTGAAGGAGTACGTCGATAAGCATCCTCTTCCTCTTCCAGTTTAACGGCGCCTTCTTCTCGTGGTGGCGCAGTTCGGTACCACGAACGCTCTGCCCGATGTAAAGCTCCCACTTTTTCTCGCCGTCGGGGATGTTGTTGAGCTGGCGCCGGGAGAGTTCGAGCCCAAGAGAGAGGTATGGCATATACGTCCTCCACCAGTCCAGCCGAACCTGTTCGGTATCAACTGCAGGCAGCGCGCAGCGTCGGGTGGCTTGGTCGCTGGGTGTATTGGATGTGGTCCTACGAACAAACGTGCTGGCAACGACACGCGTCCGACGGCGCTCCCAGCTACCTTCGCGTATCCGCTCCTGAGTGTTGTTAACCGCCTCCTCGTACAGGGTCCATAGATCGCCGTCTCCTTGATGCCTGTACTGTTGCTTCAGGTCGTCCCATGTCCGCCCAGACGGGTCAGTAGCTCCTCTCGCACTCTCGCCGCAGCGTCGCTCAAGTTCATCCATGTTCGCGCCGTGGAGAGCGAGGAAGACGATGTAGACTTCGCTAAGCAAGTCATCGCGTTCCCTCGGATTACGATGTGTCCTGCACAAGTTCGGATCGCGTTCTTTGTAGCCGAGGAAGGCTTGAGCGAAATCTTGCGGTGATGGGGGGCGGTCTCCTGCACAAAGTATACGGCAGAAGGCGTCGACTGCCTCGGGTTCGTCGTGAAAGCTGCGTCCAGCCGTCTCGGAACTGGCCCGAACGTCCAGCATTGCGCGCAGGGAGAACGCTACGACCTCGGGTTTATTCTGGCCGACATCTCTCTCCATGATAGTCCTTAGATCGGAGAGGACCTGGTCGGCCTTCCGCGTCGTCTCCGATTGAGGGGCAGGAGTATTCTATGAGAATAGTCATCAGTACGGGGTCGTGCCACCGTCCTGCAGAATGCATAGACCTCGTGTCCAGAGGCGGGCACATATGAATCCTGCGTAGGTATGAGCAAACACGAAGCTGGTAAGATGCGCAGATGTACGCACGTCATCGACCGGAACGGGGGTGTCTGTCACCTTCAGAACCACGCTCTGGGTGGCATCTCTAGAGGGGGTGACCTAGGAATGTTATAAGGATCTTGAGCGAGAGCGGCTCATACTTGAAGACTCACCGGGATCAACTTCTGATGTGCTATCCTTGAATGCGGGGCATAACCACACTGCGTGATCATCCCGTCAGTATCTCATCAGAAATGAATGGTCAGACAAAACGCTCGACGCACCGGCCAGCCCGTTGCCGCATCTCTCCATAATCTACTCCCCAACTGAAACTTCGCTTTGCATAATCGCTTAACAACATTTGACGCTAATTCTCGCAGGGGTTTACTCCATGTCGTACGCGATCTTTTCCGCGCTGGATCGTCTAAACAACTTCAGATAAGGTTAGACCGAGAAGAAATGTGTGACTGACCTTGTTCATCGTCTTCGCGTTGACGCTTGCCAAGTAGGGATAAAAGTGGTGCTGTTCAAAAGTAGATTTGTCAGAGATATACCTTCCTCTTTCTGTGATAGTCATACCCATTGTATGTCTTCGTACGCAATGAGCTGCGATATACGGGGATGACGAGGACGAACGTCAGAAGGAGGGTCAAGCTGGTTAGACTCCAAGACGCGTCTCGAAGCTTATTCAGCCTTGGCGCGTCGCGCGGGGACAGTCCGATCAACTTCGCCACACCCGGCGATGATCCGCACTCAATCTTATCTTATCAGCTCGGACCTGTCAACTTGAGGTGCGGGCCGCTTCGATGTTCTGCAATAAGTTGCGAGTATCGACACACTCAACCATGTCTTCTCAGTGACATATGTTCAGCTCATGCCCCAGCAGAACGATCCCCCATAGACATCATGCACTCCTACATTTTATATTCAACGAGCACGAGTGGTGGTCATTACATGAAATAGTTTCAAAAAACTACGAATAAGGAAAAGCCAGAGCGTACGCGCGCGCCTACCTACCTACCAAAAGTAAACACCGCGTTCGAGCTCGACAATTTGTACATGATTCTAAAAGTATTCGTGACAGGAGTAACAAACGGAACAGAACGAGAGAACGAAAGGGGAGAGCATAAACATCAACCACAACCACGATCACGACCATCTATAACACGAATCGCGCGCTCAAACAGCAACGATCCCCGCATCCTCCCTCACACACCCCGCCCTCCTCGCAACGCCCTCAAAGAACGCGCTCGCCCTCTCCGCCCTCCTCCTCTCCTCCTCCGCGCCCCTCACAATCTTCGCCTTATCCTCCACAGCATCCTTGAACCTCGCCCGCAAATCCCAGCTCGCCAATCGCAACACCTTCCTGCTCTCCCTGCTGACGCGCGCGGCATTCACGTCCACCCAGCGCTCCTCACCGTCCTTGGTGCGCACGAGCTCGCGCCTGATCGACCGGCCGATGTTGCGCGGGATCGTCGAGGGGAGCTCCATGACGACGTAGGCGATGCCGCCGAGGACCGTGAGACCGAGCACGGGCGCGACCCACTGCCTGGCTTTCTCGTTGCCGAGCAGATCCGCGACGCGTACGACGCCCTCGACGAGCGCGCGGGCTCCGACGGCCTGGCCGCCGACCATAGTAAGCGCGCCGACGCCGAGCCCGACGACGGAGAGCATAGTCGGGTTGGCAACATCGAGCTCGTCGTGCTTAACGACGTCTTCCTCGTCGGACGTAGCATGTCCAAGATGAACGAACAGCGCGTGTTGCAGATCGAAGAAATCGGCGAGGTTGGGCTCCAGCATGTCCTTGTGCGCAACCGACAACCCGAGTCCAACGGACGCGACGCTCTTGCGACGTCCGGAGACGGCGAACATGGCCTGGGGCATGAACACACGCTTGCTCCTCTCGACGTCGGCCGGGAGATGCTCCTCTGCAAGCTCAGCGACAGTGCTGACGCCCTTCGACGTGATATTGCGTGCAGCATCCTCAGCGCGTGATACGGCAGCATCGAGCGAAGCGAGCAGTGCACGACGGACGTCCATGGCGTAGTCCCATACGTTGAGAAGACCGGGGTAAGGCGGGAGACTGACTCCCTCAGCGGGCGCACCCTGCGCGACCGAGTCGAGCGCAGAGTTGAGCGTCTTGGACGTGACGAGTCCAGCTTCGCGCGTTCCGTCCTCCTCGACGGCCTCAAGCGCGCTCTCGAGCTTGTCCCGTCCAGCCTTCATCTTCTCCAGCACGGGCTTGCTCTGCGCGAGCTGTGCATCGGCCTTGGCGAGCTCGTTCGCGGCCACGAGGCGGTTGGCGCCAACGAGAAGCTCGACGTCGCCGAGGAGGTGCGAGAGGTACGTCGCGGCGGGCGTGAGCTTGGACTTTGCGCGCTTAACGAGGACAAAGCTCCTTAGCGCCGCCTCGAGCGCTTCGAATGCCGGAGCGCCCGGGCCGGTGACGGAGTCAACGAAGTGGACCAGTTCGCCGGCCTCCTCGTACGTCCTCGGGCTGAGCTGCTTGATCTGCTCGAGCACGAGACGGCGGCACTTGTCCTTGTTGCGGATAGCGTCGAACTTGTTGACGACGATAAAGATGTACGCCTTCTCGTTGGCCGCGGCGCTCAGGAACTCCTTGCCGGAGAGCGTGAAGTGGTTTTCGGCGGAGACGACGAAGACAACGACGTCGATCTCCTCCTGACGGGCGAAGACGGCGGTGGTCTTGCTGTTGTCGCGGTTCAAGCCGGGAGCATCGATGAGAGAAATGTCGGCAAGTCCGTTATTGAGGAGCGACGTGTCGATCGTACGAGCGTCGGTGAGGTAGACTTTGAGAAGAGGCTGCTGCTCCTCAGCGTCCGCCTCATCGATGATGCGCTCGAGCTCTTCGAGCGGGAGACGCTCATAGGTGCTTTCGTCGCTGACGTCGTACGCGGCGACATCTTTGACGATGTGGACCTCCTCGACGCCGTTGTTCTCCGCTACGTCATGGACCTCGCAGAAGGACGACGTGCACGGCTGCTGGTCGACGGGCATAACGTCGCGGCTGAGCAGGCGGTTGACGAGCGTACTCTTGCCGGCGTTAAGGTCTCCCGTGACGAGCACCTTCGAGCTGGTGTCCTCCACGCGAACACGGAGCTTGTCGAGGTGCGTCATGGAAGCCGTGAGACGGTCGTCGAGCAAGTTGGCAATGCTTGCACGCTCGAGCTGGTGCACGAGCTGCTGGGCGCCGGCATGGCCAAGCTTGAGGTCTAGGCGGAAAACGCGGAAGTCGTCCGAGACTTCGCTGGCCGGGATAAGCCTGTCTCCATTCGCAGCCTCGTTCTCGCCCTCAGGGAGTGCATCCGCCGGCTCCTCGGAGACCTCAGAGATGGAGGAGATCGTCGTCGAGGACGCGGAGGCCGAGGGCGTGATCACGACTTCGGTCTCTACGGCCGGCTCGTCGGCAAAGGAGAGCGAACGGCGGTAGCTCTTGCGGCGAGAAGGCGAGGCGACCGTCGAGGGTACTTCGGAGGGGGTCGTGTCGCGGAAATGAGGGTAGCGGACGGTCCAGGCATCCTTGTTGAAGATCCGAATATCGTTCAGAATATCCTTGCTCGCGTCCAGCGCGCCTAGGAGCCTGCAACTAGTCAACATCACACTCGATATAATGCATGTGCAAGAATATTCACCTATCCTTAGTCTCGATGTAGTGGCGCTTGACGTCGGCAAGGTGCGACTCGGCCGGCTCGGCAGACTGCACATCCTGGCCAGCCAGCACGGGCGTCGCAGGCTGAGCAGGGAAATACGACTGGGACATAATATTCTCTTGATTTATATTCGTCGTAGGAGTATTTAGGTCGGGTGTTACCCGGTAAATGTCGAAGAGAGGTTCAGTCAGTAGTTGATGTTGTACTTGGTGCTTGTGCTGGCCGTTTGAGTCGGTCGGTGATGGTGGCCTGGAGACAAGAAGCGCGAGGCGAGCTTATTGCGCCCGGCCCGCGGGCGACCCGCTTGGGCGGAGCTTCGACCCGGCGTCTTCCGGCCCAATCCTGCGCTTCCGGTTCTTGGTCGTTCTTGCTTCCACCCGCTCACCATCGAGGGAGGCTCATTCATATTCGTGCGCTGTCTTCGATGCCAGGCCTCGGGTCGAGCGCGTTGGATGGGATGTGGTATGAAGTTCTGAGGGCGCGATGACGCTGTTCGCTCGGCCTCGCGGCGCCCGATGATCACGATATCAACTTGACCGGCGCTGATCTCGGCTTGTTCTGGCCCGCCACGTTCTACATTGACTAGCCTGCGTACGACACATACGTGTATGTGTGAGAATAATCATACTCTCTTTGACATCGACTTGCATCTTTCCGGTCAATCATTAGGATGTATCGCCACCTCATCAAAACTGTCAAGATGTTGTCGGCGCTGTGAGAGATATGTCTCAATCATGAGAGTATGGCTAACCGTACTACATATAACATCTTGCGGAAGAGATGACGCCCCATTGGCCCCTTGACTAGGTTTCGCAGGCGCCGAATATGGTTTCTCTCCCTGTCTTTCCTCAATTGGCGACTGATCTGTCGTGGCCGCCTCCAACCGTTGCGTGCGATTCAAATGCTATCGGCAAGATGAAAGGGTTATACCTGCATATAGCCACAGCGCTCGAACTACAGTCTGTCTTGTTCGGTGCGTGATAACTCGGGTTATACTAGCACACACTAACCTGATTGGCAGGAGCATCCACGCTAGCTATCATGGTATATCTATACTGGACGCTGTGAGGCTCATACCTCTGCCTCATGGCCGTATCGTGCTCATTCAGTCCTTATACTAAGCCGATTTCGTCCCGCACGCGGCTCCTGGTTAGAGACACTGGCACGACTCTTGGCCCTCCTGCTACCCTACATCCTGTTCATGGGAGCTTGGGTCCTAAGCATCAGAAACGCGGCAGACTTCTCGAGCATTATCAACATCGGGTGTTACAGGGAACTTAATGGCCAAGCTGTGTCAAACTATAAGCCGCTCATCGCGGAGAGCGCTCTGTTCGGTGCGTTTACGTGGGGCAATCATGATATACGAGTCCAGATAAGCTGATGCGCGCTCTCAAGGACTCTTCTGCGCGCTTATAGGACTGGCAGCCTATGTCCATGCACGAAAGGGGCCTCACTCTCGATCACAGCAAGCGATGCTAGCTATCGCGCTTGTCATGTATGCCGTCTCGTTCGCTCATTGGGCGTTCGAGATGTGCAATTTTCAAACTGCCATACCCACGCTCTCGGGGGAGGAGAAGAACGCCATCCAGCTGCTGGTACCGTTCACTCTTCTATCCTTCAACGTGCTCTTGAGCGATGCCATCGTTCTCTGGCGCATGTGCGTGCTCTCCAATCAGCACCGTGTCGCTCGTGGCATATCTATCTTGTTGCTAGTCTCCACTGCCGTCGTCAGTGCCAAAACCGTGATTCGAGAGAGTTCCATGGTCACTGTGAGCAGTCGCGGATCCGGGGAAACTCTAAACTTCAATGACTTTCCGTTTGGTACTGCCGTCCTTGGGCTAAGCCTCGCGACTAACGTCGTGGCTACGGCTGTGATCGGATGGAGGGCGTGGCGCTACCGCAGGGACGTCTCCGCCTACATGGCTGCCTTTCGTCATCGTAGTATCGTGGAGAAGATCATGGTACTGCTGGTCGAAAGTGGTTGCGTCTACTGCATCATATGGGTACGCCTCTTCTGGACTAGCTCCGAAGCGAACCTATCATTGAGATGTCTTACAGGTATTATACACAATCGATAGTGTTGGGATCCGTCATGTACAAGAAACCCAACCCCAAGATATGGGCGAATCCCTCTTCGGCGCCGGAAACCCAACTTGGCTGAGTCGCATCATGCCGCAGTTGACGGGTATCTATCCTACGATCATCATCGTTATTGTCACACTTGAGCAGAGCTACCTGGAAAGGACGATCACGAACACGAGGCTTTCGGCGTTTGTCGCTGCACGGCCTGTTGCTCCGGATCCAAACTCGCACTCGCAGTCGAACCTGGACTCCGGAAGGGCGAGAACGTCGTGGAGATCTACCCACTCTGTACATCCGAGAACGATAGACAGCGCGGCTGGGGCCCTTCCGACCATTGAAGAGGCGGAACAGGTGGATGGACGCTCGAAGGTTCAGCCCGCAGAGGACCAAACTGAATGTGGATCTTTACACCACGTCCACGCTATCGTTGAACCAGAAGACCGCACGGGGGTTCCTGAGCGCTCGGATGTACAGGACAGTGTGCATGGAGACTCGCTGGTACGTCGTCACCGACGAGCTCAGTCGGCGCCATACCCATCTTCCTGGCTCGTGGCGCCGGACGAACCGAGGCAACCGCCTCAGCAAGTTCCACTCTCAATTCCCCGCGCGCCAGATGCAGGATGGGCGCGGCAATACGATTCTTGGAAAGCGTTGGAAGGCGCTGAACGTGAGGGCGAGCGCAATGATGCATCACGTACTTCAGACCGTCGCGCGCCGCTGTCGTGGAGCAGCTCGGTTTGAGCGAGGCGCGGTGCTCTTATCGGCTTTGATGTCGCAGCGTCGAGACTACTTAGAATGTGGTCTTTCCATATACGCTTTGTGTACTTCACCGACGTCGTACCCCAACTTTCATCGCTCATGTGCTTCTAAGACGTAGAGCCTACATAGTCGCATGCAGGCTGTAGTCAGATTCTGTGACACTAGTTGAGGCAATCGATGAAGTTCCAATCTCCAGCTAGTAGGCATTGCCAGCATCGTGGTGGCAGGAGGGCAGGAGCCCGAAGAAGTAACTTACGAGGCGAGGAGATGGTGGCAGAGACGGAAAAGTACTAGCTCTTGGCGGGTCTGGCTCGGTGCGGAATGTTGATCCGAACTTCGTTGAGTGGCGTGCCTCGGCCAATATGACGTTGCAATACAGACGCGTACGCGACCATACACAGCGAGTAACATTCACTCCAACCATACATATCGAAGAGTAGCCATTATGAGGATCTTCTAGACACGTTAGCCGAAGGGAGGCAAGGGCGCGCGGCGATTGGGCGTCAACTGCACGGGGACCATCACGTCCAGCCTTTCCTTCTCCCTCGACTTCACTCCTGCGAGCTCCGCTCTCGAGTACCCTGTCGAAGACCGCGCGGTGTGTTGCTACAGTGCTGACGTCCCATTGGGCGAAAGCGCACGTCTGAAAGATGAAGAGCGGGAGTGGGCGCCGAGGGGACCGAGGGGCGCACCCGTGACGCCGGACTTTGGTGTGGCCATCGTGGCGCGCGAGTACGAAATTAAGTCCAAGTCCTGACGAGGAAGGAATAAAGCGAACATATATAATGACCGCTTACTGCATATGAAACACATACGGCGTCTTGGGACATGTCAGTGTCATGAGGGTCTGAGGTGCAATCATCGAGCCGAGGCGTATCCATACCGTCGTAAAGCACCGATGCGCGCGGCTCGCTCGAGTCCAACATAGTCAGCACAGTACTCAATGCAATCGCAAAAGGTGCGGACAATGCCACGATGCGGATCATTATATGCACTGGGTACAGTAGTCTTAGTCGAATAGAGGCGACGGGGCGCGGCGGTTGGGGACCAGTCGCGTCATATCGTACAGCTCAAGCTCTACAGCGTCCTTCTTTACCTCCAAGGCAGGAACTCCAATCGAGCCATGCTGGTCGTCCTTCGCAAGTATCCCCTTTTCTCCTCCGCCTGAGCTCATCTGTGTCAGAGAGCGTGTCGGTGGTTGTGCCATGTTCCCCGGCGATCTTGAAACCGCAGCACCAGGCAAGGGCGCGCGAGGGATCGCAGGCAAAGCCTTCGACCCGGTCACGGTGCTCGGTACGACGAGAGACGTTGTATTCTGTTGTGGGCGGGGCACTGACACAGTACTCGTCGACGTTTGCGATACATTATCCATTGATAGGAGACTTGCGCGCTCGAAGGTCTTCGCTGTCGGCAGCTCGATAGCGGGAGGAGGGTTCTCGTCCAGAGGCGTAGGAGAGACGAAGACGGCTTTCCCCACGTCGTCTTCATCCGCCTCTCGTCCATATGTTCGAGTACTGGGGCTTCCAGACTGATGGGACCCAATTCTTCGCGACTTCGTAGGTCGGAAAGGTGCACCCGGCCTATTGTCGGATCGCGGCGGAGTGTGGATCAAGGAGGAGATATTCGGGCCCCAGGCGGCGTTGTCTAAGTGCTTTCTCTCGAGGGCCACCACGACGAGTATGAGAGTGGGGTATATGCCTGTCAGCTGGGCCATGAGACGGTTGAAGTATTCGACGCTTAGCACGGGCGAGGTCGTATCTTCCAATATCGACGTGTCGTGATCCGGGATGTCCAGCAGGGTGCTCTTGCTAGAGATGATATACAGAATCTATGCCTGTCCGTCAGCCATCGCGGGGTGGACGCGTTCGCTGAACTGGCGCACCCATATCAAAGAATACACGCATCCGCTCTCCCACAGGAGCGTCATCACCTTGTCCGCGATGCTGCCCGAGTTGGATGTCCGGAGATACTTCAGGACCTTTTGACGATGGATCCACGTTTTCCATCCGATAGCGACCGTCGCGGCAAGGTTCGTAACCAGACTCAGCACCAGAGCAGTAGTCCCGTACGCTGAGTCGCTGAAGGCAGGCTGTATAAAGAGCTGATCGTCGTCACCGTCACGCGTGTGTGAGAAGATCCGGGCTTCTTCGGCGATGTTTGTGATGTTGAGTGCTATGCTGAGCGCGAGCAGTACTGCAGCCAGAGAGTAGACGACCATATTTTGCCGCCAGACTACGCAGGCGCGCCAGAGAACGATCGCGTCGCTAAATATGACGTTCATTGATACCAGGGCGAGCGGGGCGACGCCTGGTTCGAAGAAGTGGCTCCCTCCGACCTCGAGAGTGTTGTCGGCGGCAATATAACGAACTTGGACACAGAAGTGTGCTAGCGATATGGCGTACATGATGAGCGCCGCTGACAGCATCGCCATCTGCAATCGTGCCCGCGAGATGCCTTGCGTGAAGAGGTAGATAGCATACACGACGAGAGCGCTGAATGCACCTGCGAATGCAAAATTATCATTCATGTATTGTCTCGCAAGTGCGAGTAGAACGTACCAAACATGAAAGACTCCAGTACGAAGGGTCCGAAGTTGGGTTGCAAGTTATCTGGTGCCGCATCGAAGGTGCCCTGAAAGCCATGCGGTACGAGCCAACCGCCAAAAAGGAGGTCGTACGTGTGTCGGATGGTGAGGGCCCAATGCGCTGTGAACATGGCATAGAGAAAAAATGTTGCAGTGCCAAGGGCCACACGTTTTCTTGAGAGCAGAGTACGGCGGATGCCTGTAGTGCGCCTGGGAAAGAGCGCGAGCGATTAGTTCACTCTTGAGAGGGTGAAAGAAGCAAGGGCATAGGAGGGTACTTACATTTCAGCGTAGCATGCCATGATCAGGGCCATGGTAAGCATGCCTGTGGAAAGCGGTCCCAGTCAGAGAGTGCGTTGGACATGAGTAGGGTACCACTCTCACCAAATAGTATCGAGGAGAGCTCCAGAGCGGGGACAAGGTCCCGCTGTGCATACGCATATCCCAGGTCGAACGCGACGTCCAAATCAGGATCAGACATACTGCAAGGTCTCGATCCCTTAGTCTCAGGATGTAGATGACTGCCGAGGATGTAAGGTACCTGTCCCAACAGGATCGGTCTCGCCTCAAAGGCGACTTTATATAGAACGATTGAATGCCTGGGACATTCCCATCGAGAACTGTATACGGTCACTTGATCATCTTCTACCGAGGATAGCGGGTCAGCCCATCAGCATATCCGGGAAGCGCCATATTCAATGCCCACCAGATAACTGATTCATCGCATGACAGACTTCAATAAATCTGGTGACATGACGGATGCCTGTGCGAGCGCAAACTTCTTCGATTCGCAGACAGATGAATAGGCTTCAGCTCGTTTCCCCTGACTGGAATGCAGGAAGTTTTTCTTCGCTTCGCGGTCAAGTCGTGGTCGGGAGTAAGTGAGGTGGCACGCTTCAACAAACTCGTATTTAGTTTTGTACTTGCGTTTCGGCGACTGCGCCTCTGCGCCCATGCAATGACTTGTCTTCGCCCATCATGACCACACAGAACGAACTATTTCATGCTGCCTGAGTTATGGCCGTCCGTCTGTCTGAACCGCGTCGCTACGAGAGCTGATGGTTGGGATTTAGCCGCGCGGGCCGTGCGTCTATCATCCGAGTCGGCGTGACGACGGACGAGCCCGGACGCGCACTCTGACGGTGGATCTGGAGACGCCACCACCTTTCCCTGCCCCTATCTATTCCCGGTGGCTAGGCTCTTTCCTTACGACCCCAGAGCATCTAGTACACGAGTCTTCGATGAGATGACTTGAAGGAACGACGGTGAAGGGCTGGCACCAGTGGGCAGCAGGGGTTAAGTAACCCCTAGCCTGTGGGCGCGCCGGGTTATGAAACCCCAGTCCCGGTCAGGCCGGAATTAAAACCCCCACATCACCTGTTATGGCTGTGCACCCCAAATGCCATGTTCAGAAATCGACATACTCTGCACTTATGAGCACCTTGAGAAGGGCTACAAGAGGGCTTATCGTGTCGGTAAGTCGAAGGGACTGCGCGCATGTAAGGGCGTCACGGCGGTAAAGTGTCCGCTACCTTATATATATATTTGGCGCGCCTGCGGCGCTTTGATTCAAAAAAAAGCATGCCGAGGGGAAAGCGGACAGTAGATAGCTATAGGCGAGTACGTCGCCGTGTTGAACTCGAGACACGCGCGGCGCGGGCCAATCGAGTTGTCAGTCGAGTTGTCAGGCCTGAAGCCCCAGTTCCGACATCGGCACTTGTGCTGCGAGTGTGAGCCTCGTGTTCGCGCAATTTCTGGTATCGGATCAATGCACAGCATGATGCTAGTGTTATGAACCCCGTTGCCGGGTTTTCCACGCCGGCCGGGGTTTATACCCCCCCGGGTCTAGGGAATCTTTACCCGACGCGAATTCTTTATTCCTCAGGGAAATTATTCCCCGAGCGCGGAGTTTTTTACCCCACCACGCCCGCTACTCTCGTCCCCGCCGAGAGTCCTCACAATGTTCCCCCGTTTCTCAAGCCTACCGTGCTCGTCGTAGTCATACTGATGTTTCAAACTGTATGCCCATGCACTCTATGCGATTTCTTACCAGATTCGCGCGTGGTTTCTCACACATCCGGAATTTTAATCCCGAGGGAGTAATTAACTCCGGGGGCTTGCAGGCATGCGATTACAAAACTGGTGACGGCCGCGGCTGGGGCTGGATGGGTTGGAGAGAAGACGGATGGCCTCTAGCAGCCCCTATCTGGCGACGAGCTCGCCTAGCCGTGCTTTCCGTGCCATCGTGCGCGAGATAAAATATTTCAATCCGTGCAGGAGACTATCATACACAGGCCTGGCAGCTCTGCATCACCCGACGCCGCCCTGCACCCAGTCGATGTACTCCCGACTGGCGTCTTGTGCCGCCTCCGGTCGACCAGCTCCAGCGCCCCTGCTGTTTAGTCTCCGCCCCTCACTGCCTGCTAAACACTCATACTGGGGCAAACGAACGGGTCAAACGTGGCCAACATCGCTCGGCGCCGCCGCGGCCCTGCACCCAGTCGATGCGTGCATCCCACGGTGGCTGGTGTGAATCGCGCCGCTTCCATCGCCGAGTCAGCCATTCCCTGTTCAGACTCGCTTTGCCACCAGATCACCTTGTCGTATCTGTACTGCCTCTTAATCCTTACGTACATAATTGCAAGACACGAAAGATGTTAACGAGTACGGACTGCGAGGTCTACCTCTGCACGTCGCCACCGGCCGCCGGCCAGATCGGTGCTGAAAATATCGTCCGGTCCTTGGCTTGTTGATGCCGGTCTCGTCGCGGACCCTCCCGTACGACATTAAGTCTACATGTACATTAGGGCAACAGATGCGCACTTTCGAAAAGGGGAGTGTTGTAGTCGTCTAGTTCGCACCCATTACCTGCTGGCATCAGAGCCTCTTAAACGCGGGGAATTCGTTGCCTGTCGGGGACGTGGGTAGGGTAAGCACGTGGCCGACTCCACGTGCGGCCCCGATCCAGCCGGTCTCTTAATGGGACATAAATGGTGGTCCTCTACTACTACTACTACTCTAAGCTCTTCCCTTCCCCTTCCCTTGCCCCAGTTCCAATCCAGTCTCCGGCGCCATCTCTCTCGATGCATGTCCTGAGAATATCAGGGACCCTGCGCGACGCTGACATGTCGAGGGCTCTTGCTCGGCGCGGGTTGAGGAGACCCCTTGCGTCGTGGTGGAGGGCCGAGAGCCGATATCAATATTCAAACGTTTAATCGCAACTCGCCTCAGCGGTGTTGTCCTCCGCTCACCATGTTCCCCCCGTCGCGCGGTACCGAACCATCCTCAGTGCAGGTATCCTATCTGAGCCGCGAAAGGGATTCGGTCTCTTGATTTTCCGGTCTCTCGTGATGTGATCAATGACGATGAGCGCTGAGCGCAAGCTGGTCGCGCCCATTTCGATCGTCCCGGGTGGAGAGTATAATACACCATGAGGAATGCAGTCCTGCGCGGTGTGGGCTTGCTGAACAATACTGAAGATACCAATAGCATGTCGACGAAAAGTAGTGGCTTGACGCGGACCCCGCCGCGCTTAGGCAGGAGCCGTGAGCTCATGGCCTGGTGCATGGACGCGTTCTGGTCGGAGGATGTTGTTGAGGCTGGAAGTAGTTGGAGGAGGGACGGGAGCACCCGCGAAGAAGGGTGCGTTTGTGAACCTCTACTATCACCGTCAATACTAACATCAGACTAATGCAGCTATACTCGTGATATCCCCATTCTGGATGAATATCGTGAAGGATGATGATGTCACTGTCTAGTCCGTCTTCTAAGCTCAAGGATCAAAACAAGACGTGTGGGTATATCCCACGTTGTTCCGGACCTGTCTGCTGCGAAGGCAGTCACCAAGGACGCCGGGGCGATCCATCATCGTCTTGCAAGTCTTGGTGGCTTGAGATGGGCAGCGCACGAAAAGAAGCCCACAGTGCGGTGCCTAGAATCCATTGCTTCACCAGTGGCGAGGAGCATTCAGGTTCGTGGGCCGGCTGTTCACTGTCCATCGGAAACGGCGCTGAATCAGATGCGCCCAGCATCTAGATGTAGCCCTGCGCTGATCCTCCACCGACATCGCGATTCAGCTTTTGCATGGAAATGGTTCTGGAGCGCCAGGCATGGGTTGGACCACCAGGCATAGGTTCAGCGGTGTAGGTGAGCTCCTTTGCTATATGAGAATCGGATCATCACTGAATTAAGCTTCTAAATCGTCGGCGACACCAAAGGCGAAAGCTTTACTTTGCCGTTGAGTCAGGGCACCTACACGTACCTACCATTCTACAGCCCGTGATGTCGTTCACAACAGTTGGTTGCATCTATTCACTGATCGGGAGTCTCGGACAGGTGAGCATCGTCGCGGGACTGAGTGAGGGAGTACTGCGCGTGGGATGAGTCTGCGCTCCTTTCTTGTATGGAAATCATAGTCTCACCTTCTGTCAATACATTTGAAGCTTCCTCGAAAGATGACCATGGCACATCAACATCAGCCATACACGGGTGCCATCTTAGGTAGTCCAACGAGAGTCCTATAAACTCGTTGTCTGGTTCATCCGCAATGCCTGTCTTCCGCTCGGTGCGCCAGGATCGATATTGAGCCCGCCCTTGTCCGGCGGAGAGCTCGAGAGCTTATCTTTCCTATCGCGTCATGCCTACTCTTACCTCCTCAGACATTAGCGACGATGTGTACAATTTTGCTCAATCGCACCTCTTGCCCAACCTCGAACTTGAGACAGTTCTCTTTGGTCAGACCCAATCATCTCTGTGCAAGTACATATGCTGACGCATACCTCCAGGAATACTGACCATGGTATTGATACTCGACGCATACGGCGCACTGTGAGTCACTCTTAAGCAAGTCATTGTGAGATCATACCTGTCTGAGCTTTCTATCACAGTCGAGAAGGTGTTTTTCCGATCACTGCAAGGACAAGAGGTCCTACTATTGCGCGCTTAGTTGTTTCGATCGGCCTTTACACCCTTTTCACGAGCAACTGGGCCGTTTCGCTCCATCATTCGCGAGATCTTCTGTTCAATGGATGGATCAACAAAGATGATGCGGTGGATGCCTATACCCTATCTCAACTGCACTTGCAGTACATCTTTGGGCCCTTCATCCTAGAGGGCGTCCTGCTTGGTGCGCACCTTCCCTTACCCTCATTACATCGAAGTTCAGCCGATCTTCAGGAGTGTTTTCAACCCTGGTAGTAATCGCCGTCCGAATCTTCGCGCAGAAGGACCTGCATTCACGACTACAACGGACCATGCTCAGCTGCACCGTGCTAATGTACACGATTTCGCTCGCGCACTATGTCCTCCAAACGCAGTTCGTCGCAGCTCGATTCAGCAATCGCGACCAAGCTTATCAGACACGTGCGACCGAGTTCATCTTCGAGCTCCTGCCATTGATCTTGATCTCGGTCAACGTGGTCCTTGGAGATGCTATCGTTCTGTGGCGCATGATCGTCCTCTGCGAGCAGCACACGTATGCGCGTGCACTTGGAGCGGCTTTGCTCATCGGCACAACCGCGGCAAGCGTCTTGAACATCGCGAAGGACCTGGACGTGTGGGGAAAGAGCCCTATAGCTCTCGACGCATTCTACGACAATAGCTCCAGCACGTCGGGATACGCGACTGCCACTCTCGCGTTGAGTTTGGCCACGAATGTTATATCTACGGCGACGATCGGATGGAGAATGTGGTTCCACCGCAGAGACATCGCGTCGCATCTGGGTGCCTTCAATCGTCACAGTATCGCAGTGAAGGTCATGAGTGTGCTCGTGGAGAGTGGGTGTGTTTACTGCATTCTCTGGGTGAGGACCATGCGCGAGTACAACGTGTGCACAACGACTAACGTCGCCTATAGACCCTGTACCTCTTGGAAAGCACATTGTCCCGCTTCGACTCGGTTACGGGAGGGATCCCCGTCTCCGCGTTTTCAGATGGTGCGATCTGGTTTGGCCGTCTCATGCCACAACTGACTGGAATATACCCCACAATTGTTCTCGTGCTTGTGGCGCTGGAGCAGAGTTACATCGAAACCGCGTTCATTCAATCGAGCGTGTCGGCTTTTGTCACGGCGTGCCCTCGTTCTCTGGAGCAAGGAGAATTGCCTGTTTATCGTGTTGATGCGAGGCGTTCCGCAACAGACATCTCTCACGAGTCCTGCGAGAACGTCGTCAGGGAAGAGGCACGCACAAATGTGATCTCTATGCCACCGAAGAAGGCAGTAGCAGTCTAGAAGTGTCTATAGAGCGCAAATCCTGTTTCTTACCCTACCAAGCATTCTAGTCATACTCTATATCAGTCACAGACTCGCAATGGGATTCTGGATGCGTATTTCGCGGTGATATTCTACTATACAGGAAGACTCGGAGTCCAATGCGAAAGCGTGGGGCGGTATCATTTATGCTACAAGAGTGGGAGAGCAGTATAGCGTATGCAGGCATGGCGACGGGAAAGATGCAGTCCATCAACAGCATGTATATATCATCAGCGAACTTCAGTAGGATGCCGCAAAGCGCGAATCGGCTCGTCGGTATGAACATCGTGGGTGGCCACCTGGAGACCGTTTGGAGGGAAAGATGCCGTACGAGAGGGTATGACGCCGTGCGGTGTCCTGATCTCGAACGAAGGCGCGAAACCCGCACTTTTCCGTACTCGCGCTGGAGTAGCGATGGGTGGTTCTGCCTGGATGACAAACCGAAGTGAGCACCCCATTGTTGACCGCAGAACCCAACGCTCCGCAGACTCACCTGTGTCAGCACGCTTGCCCTCAATCCCCCAGTCCCCCGCCTCGGCGCTAACAGCTCAGCAAGCTTCTCCGATGCACGCCTCTGACGTCGTCGGCGCCATATGAAATGCACAAGTGCGATGAGAGCTATCAGCCCTAGTCCGCCGACAACGCCGCCCGTGATGGCGCGCCCGGGAGAATGTGTTGGTCCGGTATCCTCGATGCTGGGATTATCAGAGGATGCTCTCGAATTCAGATCGAGCGACGCTCGGGTATCGTGGTTCATTTGCACAGCTTCGATGTTCAACTCCGGATTCGGGTCATTGGGTTTGTTGACGCTTTCTGGATGAGGACCTGTTAGATGCAAACGCGTGGATGTGGATGTGTGGGAAGACATGACTTACCGAATAGGCTTGCAATTAATGGCATTGGAATGGTGTCAGCGCTGCCGGCCCTACTGGGTGCGTTGACCTCGCGCTTCCCTTGTCGCGGTGCGGCCGAGACATCCTGCAACGTATTGTTAGTCCGGCCTTCTTGTCTGAGTTGAGAGATACAGGTCTTACCTCAGGGAGAGCGAGGGAGTATACGACGTCGTACAAAGATAGCCATAGCAGTCCAACGGGAAGAACGAATGAAGCGAAGCGCGACATCTTCAATACAAAGCAGGGGCAGAGCGAGTTCACAGCAAAAGGTTAGCGGTAGCGTACAACGAGTAAGAGAGGTGAATGTTGGATGCAACCCGCGCAGCGCCGTCCTTTGAGCAATCCGAGGAGGACAGTCGTTCTGACACCCGACGCACGCACGAACGCACGATGGGCACGAATCATACTTCGAACGATCCGCACTGCCTGAAAACGGGTAGCTTATGCCCACTGGGAACAAGGCATATATATACGTGGGCCTAAATCGTCTCGGGTCCCATACATGACATGGCGCTTGCTACATCTGCTGTTATTGCCGCGCGCGTGTCCATCAAGCTTCGTTCTGGGCCACGGGGAAGAGCGTTCCTTGTTCGGGCACGGTGGTAAATCCCGGAGTGTCAGATCAGCATCTGTATTAGGATGCTGCTGAGAAAGCAAGAGAGGTATGGTCAGCGATACGTTCTCTGCGCATTGTGCGTGCGGACATACGAATATACAGTAGGCGACGAAAGGTGGCGGTGATGACGGGCGCTGAAGGGGCGCAGATCAGGAACACCCTTCCGCGCTCGGTATCCCGGGGCGAGACCCAATTCCACGCGTGAGTACAGTACTGCCGCACATGGTCGAAGGTTGAAGCTTTGGGCGGTAGCCGTATGTGTCTAGAAGATTTCATTGTCTCCTCGTCTCACGTAGCCTCCAGCACGCGCAGGAGAATATCGCCTCGCCGTGTTCGCGCTCGCTTCAAATGTTCGGCTTCACGGTCGATATGCTTGCGATGCATATGTAACTTAGTTCTGCATCCTAAATCTTTCAAGCAAGTCCCAAGCAGGCAGCGCGCGTCCAGGTGCGCGGCGGCGGCGGCGGTTTCCGTTGGGAATGGTGATTGTGCTTAGGTTATCGAGGGTCAGACGTTCACGCCCGTGCTTCCCAGTTATGTTCACGAACGGCGAGGAGCGTATGTGGAAGGGCACTATTGAGTGAGCATCTCATGGTGGTGGATTAAGTAGGTGCAAGCGAGCCTCGTGCAATTGGACTTCCGGTCCGGATTCGGACGTTCTCGGCCTCGCGACTCGCGCGCGCACCAGGCGCACTGCACCTCTGGCTATTCCCTCCATCAACCATGTTCTTTGCCCTGCGTGCTTTTGCCTTCAGATGCTCATTCCTATTAGAGCACACCTTTTGAGATACGGGTACTCTAGACTCAACGCCGCCTTTCGGCCTCAAACAAGTTATATTGCCTCGATCGCACACGCCGACTTTGGCACCATGCCTTTGTTATCCATGAGACTGCATATCAGCGTATCGAGCAACACGGATTGTCTCACTCTGCACTCTATAGTGAATGGCCGTCACAGCTACGGCTTACTGGATGCGGCGCCATACTCAAAATGCGTTCAGACCGCTGAGAACATGAAATAATACGTCGGCGTCACTCGCGGTGCGCCGCCACGGTGATAGCGGCGCATTCCTTATTCCTGTCATCCATCGAAGATGTTGAAAGGAGCATCCCATCAGTTACTTCCAACTCAATGTAGCCCATGCTCTGGTGGATGTCAGCTGGAAAATTGGGTGCTCGAGATCGAGATGCCACATCATGGGACGACGCGCGCCCAAGATATGAGACTAGGTGAAGACAACCCCCTGCAGCAGTGAAGAGGGCACAGGACACAATACGGTACAACTCGCATATACAGATGCAGTCGGGCTCCTGACGCCCCTGAGAGCGCACCTTTCGGTCCCGGTCTCAGCATGGGAGCGTGCCACCCTCAACCGGCACAGATGTTTTCACATCCCGCGCCAGCCTTCCATCGTCTCGCGGATGGGGCAGTCCTTTCTCTGCATCCTGTCAGGCCTGCCCTTCATACCCGCTCAAAGCGATGAAGAAGGATCAATATGTTCCTTCTCGTGATGGCTGGTATCACTTCTCGGGATCCCGGCAGGTTCTGCTATAAGATCTATGCCACAGCGCTCAGAAACATGATGCGTGGTTTATGCCCCACCGAACTATCTATCCCAGCGCAGAATGACTTCCCACAGCCTCATTATCGAGCTGTGTGAGTAGCTGTCAGCTTCTCTCATGAATTTGACCATATCTGATCATCGTCATTCACAGCTGCTCTACAGAACTCGGCCCTCATCTTCGCGGGCGTATACTTGTGACTGGTTTCGTTCAATGCTATAGAGGCGCTAACCTGAAATATATCAAGACATGAACAGGTCGTGCACGCTCCTTTCGACTGGCGGCTTCTGATGCTGCAGAGAAGGCGGCGGCGGCCAGCGGCGGCCCGTATGGCTGTATGGGTACGCCACAAACTGCCTCCGCACTTACAAGGGTGTGACTGGTTGTCTACAAGGTGTACTTGGCGTGTCGAATCCTACTCGTGGTCTTCACTGTGTGCGGAATCATTGCAGCTATCCCTACCATCCACCAAGACTGCCGTGTAGGCTCTTTCAATCCTCATAACGAGCATCGGAGAGCTCATCTCATCGCAGACTGTCTACAAGTTCATCAGCGTCAGTAAGCCTACATCTGCAATTATGGAGGACGCTACCTGATACGCGGACTCACGAAAGGCATCTGGGTTTCTCGGCATCATCTGCTCGTCATCGCTTCTGTCCATACGAGTGTACGCCGTTCGCATACGACGCACATCCCGAGAATGCTGACGCGAGCGTCATCACAGAGGTGCGGTCTGGAAGTGGGATAAGCGTGTGTTGACTGCGCTGGCACTGAACTGCTTGGCCACTCTTGCGCTCGCTATCTATCGTAAGTGGCGGCACAGTCCCCGTACTTGTCTAGAAGCCGATACTGACCCATACGCAGTTGTGGTGAAGGTCTGCACGGATGCCTTGGATCATCGAGAAGGCACTGAGTCGGATACAGATCGACTCCACATACGATCCTACCCTACACATATGCACCTTGAACGGGGTACGAACCGATCTGTACCCGTCAGTAGCATCTTTCGTAGGAGACTGCACTCCACTCGCGCTGCTTCTTGTGGGACTACGAAGGAACTGGAAGGATGCTCGTCAGTTTCACGTATGGCATACCCTCTGGAATCAGGTGGCTTCTGCTCGCATTGACGTTTTCAACGGTGCAATGACCTCCCACAGGGGCTCATCTACCTGTGTCTCGCCATCGCGGTTGAGGTGCCATTGATCGTGAGGCTCACGTCGCATCCGCGTTTGATTGTAGTACTCATTCTGCTCAGGTGTTGTTGATCTTGAATATCAATCGTGAGTGCACTCCGCTTCTCGACTGGTGAGAACTGTAAGCTAAGGTCGAGCGTCAAGCTATCCTGAACACGGTGAGAGATCCGATAAGATCCGATAATCCAACTCTGATCTATTCGTCTCGCGCGGCTACGTACTTAGATTCTCGTCACTCCCGAAGGTGAGCGCCCTGACCCATTGGTATACTTACAGTGCGCCACGGGCTCACCTGGTTGCTCGACCGCTTCTCAGTTGTTATCCTGTGAGCCGGACGAGTCTTGGTGTTCATGAGCAGTCACTCACGAACGATGTCAGAGCCATAGGAGCTACGCGCATGTACAGGTACCTCAACGCGACTTCTCGCGGACAAAGCATACACACCGAGTGCGTACACCATTTACACGTTGATGAGCTCCTCCCTGAGGGCTAATTTCTGCAGGCACTTTACGAATGGAACATCGCACGACGCCTTCTCGCGCACCGAGTTTCAGCTGAAAATATTACGCCATACGGAGAGGGTTCAGCGGACCGATTCTTGAGCAGCATGCAGTTGAAGGGGACACCACGGCCGAGTTATGAATACTAAGTCTTTCGGCGTTGTAGACGTTGAAGTAGTAATGGAGAATATACCATCAAATTCGCCAACCGGTCCAAAACCGGTCCAACCGTCTGCGTCCCGCGCGCTCGGCGTATTCGGCCGAAGCGAGTTCCCACGCGCTCGGCCATCTCGGCCAAGACCGCGGGCCTCTTCGATGCGGCATATGATGGAGCCAGTACAGACTCGAGGCTCCTACGTATATTCTGTCGCTCATGATACTGTAGGGTATCGGTGAGCGTATATGTTTCGGAAGGCTTGTTTCGGCAACTCTACTTGCTATCCGCACACGGCGGTCTCGTTTCGGCTCTCCTGAGGGCACAGGGGTTGCTTCGAGCCTATATAACATTCACATCCGAGCCTCAGATAGATATGAACATTTACGGCATCGTACGACCATCTCTATTCCACGCTAAGTACTCTTGTTCGACAGCCTACAGCTGATCGCGCCTAGACTATTTCTTCAAGCGTCATCAAAGCTCCTGGTTTGCTTTCGCCAATGGTTACTCCGGTACGTACTCATGGGCGTTCCTTTGCTGAGTGGACTTTAGCGTTGAAAGTATCGTAAGCTCTGGATAAAGGCGGAGCCGGCAATCCTGAAGGTCATTGAGGTGAGCGGTTTGGGTCCAGTGCTGTCCAGTGCTGATGGCAAGTCCGGGGGTATACATTGTCAGGGGTCGAGGTGAGTTCGTTCTGGACAGTTCATCGAGTAGAGCAGATTCCTCAAGGCAGGCACAAAGCAAGGCGTAGGATGAGTGTATATGGGAGCCTAGTACATTGATCAGGCGGTGTTAGGAGCGACGGGTTGCATAAGGAATTTGATCACTGACCTCAGAGATCCTCACGAACGCAACCTGCACGATATACGCAAACGCGATACCGTGCCGGTGAGCGCAAACGGAGGCATGCCTGGATTTCATTCCTCGCCAGCGCAGAACGGGAGGCCTTCTCTACGAGAGAAGCTCTACGTGCGCGGCCCTTTCGTCCCGCCTCCAAGCCAGTACCCTCATCTTGTGTGTTGGACTGGCGAAAAATGGAGTTCTGCGGGACGTAGATGGGTTTGGCGGGTGGTCCGTATGGAAGATAGATGTATGCGCCCTGGAGTAGTTTATCGCGCGCGCGTGACGGAAGACTCCGGTCTTCACGAGTGCGGTCTGCTTGTCGAATGTGCACCCCGATGGTTCTGGCGCGCCAGTGCGGATGCGGTTAGGCGTTCGCGAGCGGGTATGCGGTAGTTGGGCTTTCACATATTCGTAGAGATTACATATTCAAGCGATAGACTTCTTCCAGAGTAGCGTGTTGAGTGGGGTAGGAAGCTCAAGGGCGGTCTTCTGTGTTACTGATTAAGGCACTGTTGGGCCGCGGGCGGCCTCGCAGGCGACTGAGTATTGAGGCCGAGGTACATCAGAGGCAGTCTGAGCAGACGAAGAGGAGACACTGACGCTCGTAGACATATCAGAGCCCGACAGCAAGTACACGCCGTATCAGGAAAGTAGAATGCGCCCTTGGGTGGTGGTTGTGGACAAGCCCGAAGCGAAACCGGCGCTGTGGCGCAACACGCGGGCCGGAAGTATCCGCGACCAGAAGCGCCCATTATCGGTGAATTGACGACGCACTTCGCCGCCGTCGTTGTTGACAAACACCTTCACCTTCGCTTTCGCCTCGCCACCACCACTCCTCCTACTTTACACCTTCTACTAAAACTACAGCGCGTTGCACCCCACAGCGCTCACTAAACAAAATAAAGCCCCTCTCGCGTATCTTTGATCGAACCTGAAGCGTGCGCCCCACGTGCTCCATCCGGTCCCTCGCTCCGCCTTCAGCTCTCTCAGCGCTGCTTCCCTCTCTCGCACTCGCCTCCTGTTCATGAATCTCGCCCTCGCATGGCACTGACAGCCGCACCTCTACACCGCGCGCCAGGTCCCGGGCCATCGTGGGACGAAACGATTGTTCCGGCCCTGCGCGCGCGGCTGGAGGACGAGAGCCGGGTGCTGGCGCGGCGCATCAGTGCGGCCTCGCTCGCGTCAAGTGCGGGAAGGAGTGCATCTGAGAACCACTGGGATATATACGACGCGTACGCTGCGCCTGATAACGACTACCCGAAACCGACGGCCATTCCTCGACCGAGCTTGTCTTCTCAACCACAACCGACTACTCATACTGCGAATTATACTTCCGAACGCGAACGGCCGCAGCCACAAGTACAAACGAAGGCAACTCCGACAAGGAAACGAACATTGTCGAGTCCGAAATTGCCGTTGCCTGTGCCGAAGAGTCCCAGTTTGAATGTTAATGGGAGTGGTGGAGTTGGGAAGACGCGGATCCCGGTTGCAAGAGCGAGGACGGGCAGCACCTCTTCGCGTGCGACGAGCGCCAACGGTCTACACGCACAAGGCGGCAGTTCGACTCCCGACCTCGGTGCTTTGACTTCACGCGCAGGCGCTCAACGTTCACCTGACCTATCTTATCCTCACTCCCCACAATCCAACAACTCGCAATCCAACTCTTACTTCGCCGGATCGCCGAAAGAAGACGCTGGACGACCGTCAATGTCTAGCCATTTACGGCGGCAGACCGGTGGTGGCGATGATGATGTCAGGGCCAGTATGGAGTCCGACGAACGTCCTTTCGAACATTGGTATCGAGGCGAAGCGGCACGGAACGGTGGTGTCGGCGAGTACCGCGTTGGACGAAGGCAAGAGATGCTGGAGATAGCCAATTACGGGCATACTCCACGCACCACCCAGAACCCGCGAGCGGGAGGTGTAAATGGCAGCGGATACACGGGAGAGTGGGTCAACACTAGTCTACGGGCACGGAGAGGAAGTTTGGATGGGAGGCATAGGGAGAGCTTCTATCTGGACCCGGATCAGGCGGGAGGGAATGTCATGGATGAGGTTCTGGATCTGGATACGGGCGATAGTGCGTCTGAGGATGTACATGGTCGACTATCGTCACACGGACATGGACGGAAGGGACACAAGCCACCACCTAAGCAAGAACCGGAGGAGCAGTACGAGGAATACGACGACGATGAGGATATGGGCGGAGAGGAAGTGGACGACGACGAGACGTGGCATGCGACGCCCAAAGTCGCCCAACCGCGCACGCCGACTCCGACGCAGATGGCCCAACGTTCGATTACAACAGACGCGACGTCTCGAACACGGGCGGCGCCATCCCCGGCACCACTGGGCAATCGGTCAGCGTCCACACCGTCGCCCCAGCCACCTCGTACAACGCCCAACGGCCGCACACCTCAAAACGGCACACCGGCATCCGCATCCGCAACGGCGAAAAGGCGCGCCAAGTCACCTGCAGCCGCAACGCCGCCGAATGCGAAGAAAGCCAAGGCAAAGTCCCCGCCGTCAGCGGCTGCGTCGGCACGAGCAGCAAACGCAAGGCCTGGTGGGAAAGGAGGTGAGGACGAGAAGCGACGTAGCATTGCTGCGTACCCCGAGCTTGGAGATGATGGCGAGGCGGATATGAGCCATGCGATTCCTACTTGGACGCAGCCTGCGAAGGTCGGGAATTGGGACGAGGTGCGTTGGTTGGTTCTTGATGGCGCTTGTCAGACATACGTTCCCTCTTGCGTGGCGACGCGCGCTCTTGCTGCTCTTTATACGTTCCTGCCCTTTACATGCCGCCGGTCGAATTCACTCTATCCCATATACAGTCTACACCTTGTTTGCTTCCTACGAATTTATCCCTTTTTGGCCTGTCCTTGTTCTCATTACCTCCCGTTCCGCTCTTTCTGCTTCCTCTTTCGTCCGTAAGCGCCGTTTGATCCCGATTCGCTGACGCGCGTCTATGAACAGGTCGTCTTGCCAGCTGTGGCGCGCAAGAAAGGCCTAGAAGGATACGTCCGTGCGGACGGTAGTCCACAACCAAAGGAGGAGCGCGAACAGGTCATCGAGCCGGTACGTACGCCCTTTGTACCCCTTTCGACCATCGAGAACGCCGTTGCATATGCGCACCTATTCAAATCATCACGCCACGCCATGCTCCCTCCCCTGTCTCATTACGCTCAATTGCTACGTTGCTGATGTGTTTCGATTGCTTTGCTACAGGCACCCGGAACTTTTGGATACGACTACTCGAAGTACAAACCCGGTCAGCGCGGCGGCGAGGAGATACCGATGGACGAGTTCGGCTCTCAGCGACCGTCCGACCCCGACGCTTTGGCAGAGGAAGCCGCGCGGGAAGACGAGATGAATCCGGACGATCCGTCCTCGCCCAAGTCGCCTACGAAGCGCGAAAAGGCGCTGCCGCCGTTGAAGCCGAGTGCGAGTATGCGCCGCGCCATGCAGCAGCCGCCCAGTCCGGCGCCGTTCGCTAGTTATGTGCCGCATGAAGGGATGACTATGGATACGAGTCAGATCCCGCAGCCGCAGACGCCGAGGGTTGAGCAGAGGGTTGAGGAGCCGGAGAGTGGGGGGTGCTGTAAGTGCGTGGTCATGTAGCACTCCGCCCTACGCCTCCACTTCCGCTCTGAATCTGCTGCGACTCTCGTTTCCTCACACGGACGGTTTCTCTGCCTCGTTCACGATCTTCCTTCTCACTCGGATCTCTCTTCTCCGCTCGCTTGTCACACGTACGCTCCTTTGCCTCTTTGGATCACCCCAGCCCCGTCATGTTGCGAAATAGTAGCTGTACGTTCTGCGTTCCTGTTAGTGCCCCCTACCCTCTTCACCCCACCCACCAGTGTTACCATCCCAGATGCTCTTCCTCTTCCGCTCACAGTCATCGCCCGACCCGTCCGCCGTTCCTTACTCTACCCGTCACGGTATTCGCACTCCGCGGACGTACTTATCTCATCCTCGCCGCCCACATCTGAATCACCGGCCCTGTCGATCGCCTATACACTACAGCCCAGTCTTGTTCATCTTCTTCCCGCTTTCCCGCCTTCGCGTCGCACCATCAAATATTTCACCCACACTCACCCATCCACCATCCCGCCATCGAGCCATCCATTTCCCATGTCATTCTCACTGCCCCTCCCACGGGCGGCGATCTTCGCTGATTCAGATCATCCCCACCATCATCATTCATCATGACGCTCTTCTGTCTGAATCCACTCACGGTTTTCCTTTTCTCACTCGCTGAACGTACCTCGTGTTCTGTCCATATGCCATGTCCAGATCCACTACTTACTCGGGTGTGCAGTACATCTCCTTTCATCCCATCCCGTTTCTGGTTCGGTGACTTTCCGTCGTTTCGATACTCGCGGCTTCAGATACCCTAGTTTCAATCTTCATTCTTATACGCTTCGCTTAGTCTCATCCTCAGGTCTGGAATGAATCTGATACTCTTCACTTTCTGGCCCGGGTCAGAACGACAGGTGTGATACGCGGATGGCGCCCGTGGGCGGTCGGGATTGGGACCCTGCGATGTGCCGGAGATACGGCGACGAAAGGCGCTGTTGTGGCTTGCCGTGGGATCTTGTAATGGTGGCTATATGCGCATGGCGCTCGCTTGCATCTGGTCTTGGGTGATGTTGCGAGTGATATCTACTGACTGGCAGGGAACGAGGGGTGGTACGGTGTTCATCTTTCGAGCCGGAGAAGGACGACTCGACGCGCTGGTTCGAATTTGCACGAAGTGCACGGCTTTCGACCTGCTGCGAGATCCGGCGTTAGAGACGAGCTACATCGAGGCGAGCCGTACTGTGTCGGCGAGTCGAGCATATGGTGTCATAGGGACCGTCAGGCTACAGCATGGCTCTTGTCTGGTAGAGCTCGACGTGATAGGCCGCCGGTCTGGCGCTCAAAGACGTATCTCACAAAAAGCTCTAGATCAGACGGAGCTGGTGGCCGTCGTGCTCACCCGTAGCGACGTCGCTCGGGTTCTGCCAGTCTTGATCGAGGTACGTCAGCGGAACATATGAGACAGTGACGACCGTCAGGTGTATTATCGCACAGGTGACGTGCGTGCGTCGCAATATGTCAAAGAGAATTGGTCCGCGGTGATAAACGCGAGGGCGCCACGAGGTTTGGCAGGCGCGTCAAAGGACAGTACACCACGCACTTATTCGCGGAACAACAGAACTTGGATCTATGCTATCTTCTTTTGTCTGGACAGACGAAGCTGACCAGCCATGCAAGATGCGCCCTTCTTGAGGTGATACGATTGCTCTCGGCTACGCGATCATGGAAGAGCGATGCGCCACATTGACTTCGAGCAGCCGGCAAGGCTATGGGAGCGCAGATCGTATCTGATAGTCACTTCATCTCGGTCCTGGAAGAGTTCACATTACAGCCGGCACCAGTGGAAACCGCCGGAACTACATATCGAAAGATGGCGAGTTGCGGTGAGGATGTTGCAAGCGGCACCATAGTAGTTGAGTGGATCCGATGTCGCAGAAACCGAACGTATCGTCGATTTGGCGTATAAGTTTAGTTACCTGTCAATGAACGGGACCGGAAGCGCACCTCATGTCCTCATGTTTTGATCGGACTTGGGCTTGGAGCTGTCAAAGTAGGGCGCGAACGGCGGGAGAAGATCATCAAGTGAAAAGCCACAACAGCACTTGCGCAAGCGACGGCGGTTCGAACCTCGAAAAGATGTACGGTAAACGAAGGCTTAACGTCTCAGTGCTCCAGCAGTCGCTACGGCACTCGCACATCAATCCAGTACCCTCGATTGGGCCGCGTATACTCCATCGGTGCCCTGTATACCGCCGACATCGGTCCCCTTCGCGATGTTCGTTCGTATGCCTCGGACCTTGAGTGGCGCGTGCCTCGTGAAGTAAGTAGTGAGCCCCAAGCCGAGACGAACCGACGCGCTTTGTTCCCAAAGCGTCAACGCGTCACACAGCTGTAAACATGCTATGCCTGTAGGGGCCGATTGGATCATGTAGGAGCATGGGCTTATCTGGTAAGTCTGACTTCAGGGTCTAGAGAGATGGCTGCGAACTGATCCAACCCGAGATGAAGTATGAACCTCGTCCAATGATGCTTTCGGACTGTGCTCGTCTGTCATGGAGATATCGCCATTGAGGCTCGAGGCTGGGCGGACGCCGAAGAGCCACTAAGTTGCCGCATGGAGCAACCACGCCATCCACATCATCGGAGGATCCCGAACTACTGCGGTCGGCGTCCAATGAAGGCTAGGTACTCACAGGGACATACAAGGCTTAACATTCGTCGACACCGTATCGAGCGCCTTCTCGGACCATGCCGAGCTCTATGCACTCTTCGAGACCGATCATCAAATTCACGGGCACATGGCGAATGATACATAGCTTCTGACCAGACGCTCAGGGCCACGTCGGTCGATTATATCCACAGATGCCATGACACACTCAGTTCATAACCTGGTAACTGATTTCACTGACTGAACATCACCTATGTGCAGGGAGTCTCGCATCAAGCTCGAGATTACGCTACAAGACGACGCCATATTTTCCCAGAGAATCTTCCGGTAGAAACTTCACCACAATCGCGCAGCCGTCGCTGTTGCTAGCCACGATGTCTGTGCTGGATCAGATATGCGTACTCATGCACTCATGAACCGTGTCAGGTGCATACTCGGCGTAACTCGTGCCACACGGCTGTAAGCGTGCGATGCATGCTGGAGTAGTTACAATCAAGAGAGGAGCGCGGCCACAATCTGAACACAGCAGCTTTCTCGGGGCTCTACGGGTAATCAGCGCCTTTAGATATAGACAAGATTGCATGGGATACAATAGACTTACATCTCTTTCGGGAGATGGTCATCCGCTGCGCAAACGGCAAACGATCTCGAGCTCGTTCCTCATCGAATCGCGCATCCACTCGGTGGTCCCATAGACTCTAGCTTGAGCGCCTGGGCTGTCAACATGGTGAAAGCAGATGAAGTTTGGCCACGTATCGGCTTCACGACGAACCATCTGAATCCGCATATGCGACACTCCCCAAACTTCTCGAGCCGCGCGAGCCGCCAGGCTGAACTTGTTAAGCCTCGTGCCACAACTCAACGTGTGATGCGTCCGATAAGATCAAACAGAAGCCGCCTCGTTCTGGTGCACTTCCACACAGGCGGCTTGACAGGATAACAAAGAAGTCGAGATGATCAAGAAGGGAAGCGAGATCGTGGCAGACTCTGTGCCGATGTCAAGTGTTTTGCCTGATGTTCGTCAACGCTTGCTTCATTGAGATGTACTCTCTGTACACACCTGTTCCTCCGTCCCTTGTTCAGGAAGACCTCCGACGGCCTATTTCCAGCAGAAGCCGATTGATCCTCGCGATCTTTCCTTTCCTCTCCCACGTAGACGAGGGAAGCGCGAACTGCGCGCGCGGCCGGGTAACAAAAGCCTGAGACCGAGTGGATTCAAGTGCGCTCAGAGTCGTGATCTGAGCACTGCTCAGAGTAGCAGTAATGTGTAGATGTCTCGGAGGCACATGGTCCTTATGACCCGCTATCGGATGGCCTGTACTGTCACCGTGTTTGCCGTGCGTTGCAGCTCGTTCTCGCCTTGCCAACGTGTCAATCTTCAGAGCACGATAGCACAATCGTTTCGTACTCACTTTGTCTATTGGCGCTTGCTGAATACATAAAGCAAAGTATGCTCAAGGGCATCAAGCTACTGAAAGAAGACCGAGAAGGCCAAGCGCGGTGTTGTGCTGCTGTGCATCGTGATTCACCGTGCATTTCCGCACAGATGGAAAGAGTTTCAGCTCTGATTCTATGCCCACCCTATCATCGGTGAGTCTCCTGGCAAGCAGACTTCAAGGGAGAGACACTCTGGGACTGCGGTCGCCTGAGCCGACAATGAGCGTAGATCCAAGATGGAGTGAGTGGGCGCTGGAGGTTCGTCACGACGGTTGCGGCCTATCACGGACCTCGCCGCGAGGGTCGACTCTGGAAACCCTCCAGGAACGATCGGGTGGCTATGACCTCGGTTCGAATTCTTTGGCCACACGCAACTGTGGCCCGCGCTAAGTTGGGCCACACAACACAAGGAAGGTGTAACAGTTGGTGGGGTTGCGCGGCGCAACGAGCTTGTCGTCTTCCGGTCGCGTCGGGCGTTCTTTCACCCCGACCACCACCTCGACGACGACAAACTCGCGCGAACTTGGCCACCAGCTTCTCCAACTCCGGCGACGCTATGCTGACCGATTGTTCGTCAGAAGTTTTGCGAGCCGGCGGACCAGTTAAAGCTGTGCGGGCATCTCGCTCGAGTACTTCGTCCGTATGGGGAAGTGCTTGTTCTTGCTGGCGCCCGTTGGCGCTGATGGCCATGCCGTCAAGGCATGCAGTGTATAGGAACCAGCAACCAAGCGTGCGCGCCACCCGTGCGGGATCTATCAGTATATAACTTAGGACCATCCTCTCACAAAGAGTTCCCCGAGGTCCCTTCGTCTTTGACGTTTCTTTCTCGGATCTCCATCCTAACTGTAGCCTTATTCTTTGCTTGCTCGTCTGTCTGCACTTCTTCGCCCTTCGTCGCGATCACCGCATTGCTTGTAGCCTACCGCCTATCCTCATCGCATGTCTAACACCGGATCGTCATACACACCCGGAGACAACGCCTCTTCTCGCCGTACTTCGCCCGCCTATCCACCCATGCAGACACAGTACACCGACGACGGTCTCGCCTTCATGGGGTCAGTGATCAATGAAAACATTTCGCGGCACGTTTCATGTCCATCTAACTCTCGCCATAGCAGCTACTCAGCCCCTGCACCCGGTACATCTTGGGGTATGGCCAGTGCGCCTCCGAGTCCCGTCAACCTGGGCCGTCCGACGTCTTCAGAGCCGCGCTCGTCGCCAATTGATGCGTACTGGTGCGTTTTGCCACTATTGTGTTTGCCGACTGCCGCTCACATCGGATCAGGCCGCAGATGACGGCCCCTCCTGAGTCTCCGTACGGGCACGGAAACGTCATGTCCGGGGATATCACAATGCCCATGTACTACGGACATCAGCCCCGTACGCTCACGCCGGGCTCTTCGTCGGGCACTATTTCGGATATTGGACATGGACGTTCGGGGTCTGCAGCGGGACAAGCGTCATTTGCTTCCCTTGCACCCCCTTCGATGCAGGGCGACGCCTTACGCGCTCCAAGCACCGGTCCCGCACGTCGTCGCGGCCAGAGCGACGTGACGGATCCGGCCGAATACGAACGCCAGCGCCAGAAGAAGAAAGAGTACGCCAAGACATTCCGTGACAACGAGAAGCATTACTTCGAACAACTTCGGGTCCGGCTGTTCCCGACCGACCCGAACACGCGTCGTGCTGAATGTCTTGAGCGTGCTGTCAGTGCGCTTGACGAGCTGGATGCGTACAAAGCTCGCGCTGCGACACGCGACGCGGAGGTCGAAAAGTTGCGCGCGGAGCTTGCGCAGGCAAAGCATCGTGCTGCAGAGCTTGAGCAGTTTGTCGCGCAGTCTGGTACATCCCAGATACCCTCGCAGGCCGCTGTAGGGACATACCAGGGGTATAGCTCCCAATCCAGCTGGCATTGATCACCATCTCCTGCGACTGGCATCGCGGTGACCGGCTCTCTTGCATATTGCTTCTTCATTTCTCCCCTACTCATCTATATCATATAATGGCTCCCTGTTCTCGTCATCATCCTCTTGTGTAGCATATTATTCGTCCTTCACCCCGTGTATTTCTAATTATATATTGGCTTCCAGGCCGCTAGTGTATTTGTACCTTACCGTCCTTCTTCTTCGAGACGATCGTTGTTTATATCTATTCCACTGACACTGATCGCAGGTCTTCAGTTTCCATCCCCGTACTACTTAGTGCACATGACACGCTGTTTCATGCTCACGATCCAACAATATATAGAGAGTACACGTATCGATCAACATGCTGACATGACCATCATAACAGACTCATAACGATCGCCCGACTGCAAGGGGCGAGGATACCGTAAGGCCTGGCGTCGTCGGTCGCAGAGAGAGATAACTCCTGCCTGGCGAGACGGCAACTGTAGGGATGGGGGCTCCGCTGAGCGATCGTGGAGTTGAGGGACACTGCAAAGGCGATCCGAGCGTTGGCGTCCCTGTCGAGGATTCGACATGCCTATCGCGGCCCTCCGGCCCGGACTTGCGTGCATACCCTTGCGCTTCGCCTTCCTCGATTTCATGCTGTAGAACTCGGATATCTGGAGAGTTCGATCGAAAGCCGGGCCATTCAGGATAGATGTCCCGTACGCGACGTTCAAGAGCGTCAAGGCTCTCGCGTAGTGCGGTGATACCGCTGCCCAGCTCTGCCAGCGCAGCAACTTCCCTTGCCTCACGCTGTTCCAACTCATCGCGGATATCCAACGCAACGTGCACTGCATTCGGGAGACCACATGTGAGCATCAGACCAACGGGAAAGAGAGATGCAGAGAGAAATGATCAAGTGTTTCGGCGCTGCCTGGACAATCAGGGCGCAAGGCAGGCGAGCAGATGTAGTGATGGTGGGCAGTAACAATTGAGATGCTTACATTTTCTCAGGGTTGCAAGACGTAGCCTTCTTTCGGCTCTCTCGAGATCGGCCGGGGGCGCGCTGTGTGGCACCGCACCGCTGTACGGATGATGTCGGTGAGCCCCGAGGCGCCGTCTTCGCGGGGCAAACGAGGGGTGCTTTTCCGACCTCATGAGGCTAGTCGTGGACGACACGTCTGTGCGAGGTTGGAAAGCACAGCTCGCTGATGGACGTGACAATAAGGACGCGGCGACCATAAGCGCAAGTGACAGTGAGTTTGCAGGGTCCTGCAGCGAAACTTCGGCTTATGATGGAGCGAAGGCTCGGTAGTGAATTGGTGAGTTTAGGAATTTGCCGGTACGATGGTACGTCAGAGGAGCAGAGGTATTGGTGCGACTTCAGGGGGTGGATGGGGGCGGCCGTTCTTGTATCCGCCCACCTATATACTCTACGAAGCCACGGTGCGTATCGCGCGAAGCCCGGACTTATGCCCTGCGTACACGAGATCTTCGGCAGTCAGGCCATCTATGCATTTAGCCCAGTTGGGCGTGTTGCAACATGCGACGTATACGTGCATAAAGACGGCATGTTCGCGAACAATCGAAAGGGGCTGGGGAGCGGGTGTGCGCGGGCTTTAGGGAGATCTATACGACAAGCGGTGCACCGCATACGGATGAAGGGAACGGGAAACGTGTCTCGAAGAGCAGAAGCATCTGTCCTGGATGTGGATCCTCGAGACATTCGGTACTGAGGCTCTGTCAGTCTCGGGGCTCCTTCCGATATGTACTGACAGCAATCTGACCGAGTGGAGGCTCATCATGAGTGGAACGCATGATCGCCTACGGGAAGGGCAAAATGCGATGAGCAGTAGTCGCTGCGCCACTTAGATGTGCTGACAGAGCACATCTTGGACAGAACGTATCGCAAGATCGGAGTTCGAAGAGCTACGTATCGCGAATACGCGTCACGTCGGTTGCTGATAGTCACCGCGATCGCAGCGTGAGTGAATTACAAGGCTGTAGACTTCATCGAGAGAGCAGTCTGTTTTTGATAGCCTAGGTTGAAGATCTTGCGATCAGTTCGAGAGTGAGGATAGTGGATCAGACGGGTCTGCCGACGTGGACGTTGGGAGTAACTCGAGCGGAAAGGCATCTGGCGTGGGGAGGTGTTCCGGTCCGCCTTGCCGACCCGCGGCCCGAGCGTGCTGCCATCGAGCGTGCGGGTTTGCTTCCTACCATGACTTCCCAGTCCGCTCGCTATCGCCGCGCCCAAATTCTTGAAGTGGTCATACACCATGTAGGCAATGCTTGACCCTCGCGAAGCAACGTTGAATACTTGTAGCACTAGATTTACATATGATTTTGCTTGGTATTATTCCACACCTTACATGTTCCAGCGTTTCAAGTGGCCTTTTTGGCGCCTGACAGGACATCCGGAGCGCGGAGTATGCGACCACCGGCATGTCTGCATGTGCACGTCCAAGGAAAGGCTCCCACTGTCAAGGGCGGCATATGGTCCATGGCTTGACTGATCATGAAAGATTCATTCCTCCAGGCTCCGGCCCATCTCTTCCCGACTCCTATATAGAGAATCCCGTAGCTAAGCACATAAACCCTCGTTTCGGTTGACTGCGTGTTGACTGCGTGGATTACCTGCATGGTATCTGGTCTGACCTCTACGGATGAGGCGCTCAGCGAGAGCGTATTGATGGCCAGACGTGATCTTGTAGTCGAATCAATTAGGGCTCCTGACCTCGCCTTGTATGAGCTCTCCGAAGAGTTGAAAAGGAGCATAGCCATGGGATTGCGAACTGGTACGTGCAGAAGTTGCATAGTATCCACTACGTCCCTTCCCGCCCATTCTGTGATTCGGATACGGCAAGATATGATCTGTATGATTGGATTACATATTGCCTTTGCATAACATCCTTCTTGCGTTCCGCATGAGCTTCTAGTCAATGCAGACAATGCACTCTTTCAATGCCGTCTACAACGGTGTCGGACCGTAAAGTCGCTGTAGCCCGTGCTGTACCCATGTGGATCCGCCCTGATCTCCTCCGTCACGAAGCGGACATCAACGCTGTAATCACCCAATGCATACAGGTCCGGCAACTCAACCTTAGTCGCATTCGCCCACTCCGGCAGAGGCAGACCGTTTCTTGACCAGCTGGTAACGTACGTGCCGCGGTCGGCAAGATCAACGAGCTCAACGCTGAGCTCGCGCATCCATCTTCCCGTCGGCGCGTCGTATATGCATGTAGATGAGCTGTCGTCCACGAGATCTACGCGCGGCAGGAGGGACATCCACAATCCCTCGACGCACACAGAGCAGAAGTTTGGCTCATTCGTGATGCGCATGAGGCAGTCTTCGTTGGTAGGACGATACGACGTTTCGTTCTTCTCAGAGAAGGTCGGAAATACGCCATAGAATGCCGGCTCCGCATGAAACCTGGAAGGCTGTCAACGAGTGCTCATGCACGGCGTAGGACTGAGATGCACTCACTCATCTGGGTAACCGAACTCGAGTATCTCTACAGAGCAAAGTTGTGCGCTGCCTTCAAGGAGCGCATCCTGGAGCCAGAAGGCGACCTCATGGTTGCCTGGCGAGAGCGGCTCATCGCGCGGTATGTCGTAGTGCCATCTATCTATCCCCAGACCTTTCTTCGCCTCCCATCCCAGATCGACCCCGTCGAGTGTGACCTTCAGGTCCCTCGTATAGGGCAGTCCGCTGAGACTGAAGCGGACGAGGTGCCGTGCATATGTCCCGGCAGATTGGAATGTGGTCTTCCAGGGAGTCGTAGCGTTGAGCATCGTCCATGCGTAGTCCTGGAGGGGCATGACAGCGCGCTCGACGTGAGGAAGCTCGCCATCCGTAGGAGGAGAGGTCATCCAGTGCTCCCATGACATGTGCGCTTCGATTTTGGCGGCAGCGTTGACACCAAAGTATGCGTACCCCCCATCATATTCTTCTCCGACGTTGATGACCGAATGCCCGAGCTCATGCCGGAGCACCAGAGGTCCGTTGATGGGTGAAGGCGTAATCGTTCTAGGGACTACAGATCAGCTCATGGACGCTACCGGTCAGAAGCCGTACAGACGCACACGAACTCGCCACCGAGACCGCCGTACAGCTGGTCGTTGCCAACCAATACAGGGTAGTCGCACTTGCTACCAAGCGAGTCGCATGCTGCACGCGCTACTTCAGGCTTTGCATAGTACAGTCCACGGAGTTCCGTCCCGTCTCTGTATAACCCAAACGGCGTGCTATACGCGGTTGTCAGTCCAAAATGCAGTACAAGTCACAACTCCTGGACACGCACTCTAGTGGAAGACCATACACGCCAACACCGCTCTAGGTACCAATCAGAACGTGTTCCCATGGATGCCAGCCATGCCAACGAACCTGCTTGCTGGGTGTATATGCCGCCCAGAAGTTCATCAGCGGCGCGACCGAATGGTATGTTTGATTGGCGGATATGGAGTCGACCAGAAACTTGACGTCCTTGAAGAACTGGTGTTTCTCCTCCGGAAGGTCTATGCACCGCGTTTACTGCTGTCCATTGTCTGAGACGTTCGAATTGCTTACAGCCGTCCGAAAAGAAGGTCAAGTCTACACGGTTGTCGGATGGTCCTGAGCCTGCGATGAGGCGTACCTCAAGAGGCGGGACTTCGACCCCGCCCATGCTCGCTGAAGCTCCAGCAGATGACAGTATAACTTGAGAGCCATCCTCGGGCACCAAGGGTGTCGGCATTACAAGCTCGAGACCGTTCGCATTCGAGCATAGAGAGGCAAGCTCGCGTCGCAGTATTGCTTCCTCACGAGCGAAGATACTCCAGTACTCGTTCGTGGTCTTGCCATCATAGCTGGGTGCCACGAAGTTCTGCGCCTCGACATCTCGGGCCGCTAGTCCACGATGGAGTTGCGTCTCGCGGATGCGCGCATGGGTGCACTCGGTCGAGCCCACAGGCCGATGTACTTTCAGCTCATATGTTTGAGGGAGAGCCTGGGTGAAGGATGCCAGCCCGAAAGCGTATAACGCCACCGCGACCCGGAATCGTAGCATGACGACCAGCTGAATGGTCGTGGTGGTCCAGAGTCAACCTTGTGCGTGACCACGAAACCAAGGCAGCCTTCGCCGTGCGATCGGGGAAGAGCACTGGACCTTGATCCCATTCGAACTATCACCGTCGGGAATTGATAAGGCCAAGGCAAGTGCGCGCCCAGGCGGTTATGACGCCGAGGGCCAGGGGCAAGGACGAATGTTGGAGGAGGCAGACAGAGTAGTATGCCGACTGTCTGGCGCGGTCTTCGAAGTCATTGACGACAAGGATGCAGTGCACGATGGTAGGAGGAAAGTCAACAGACAGTGGACACCCGAATTCTTCGGCCGGACTGCTGTCCGTCTGATCGGACTGTAACGGCCGTAACCCTGACCCCGTTATCCCGAAACGCGCGCGGCGTCCTGCAGTCTCTCGGTTGATCCAAACGACCACCAAGGGAAGGTCCAACTTGTCACGATGAGAGGAACCCAACCAGATATGCCAATTCATTGCGTGTTCGACCATCTATCACTACAGGCTGCTTGTTTCAAACCTGGACCGCTGAGAGGCAGATGTCTCGGGCTGATCCAGCGCTCGCCACGGCTACGGCCTGAGCTGTCTCAGTCCCAGATCTAACCATGGCCTGCGGTCGTACATAACTTAGGAGGTCTGCACTCCAGAGCTCCGTCACGAACCTTTCGTTCCCGCCATTAGCATCTCGACTTCCCTTGGCGTATTCCGCCAGGTATAAACTGGTCCCGCCTCGGTTAGCAGTTGTGCTCACCCCCTTCTCCGCCTTAGGTTCTCCCTTCACATACTTCGACACAACTCCCATATCTCCATCCGTCATCCATGACCTCCTGCACGCGAAGACCGCTTCTCAGCCTGTCGACAACGCAAGAACTCGCGTCGCAACATTCATAAACGTCGACGAAAGGGACCGGCCTCAGATATTTCCCCACCCGATTTTGCTCAGTAGTGGGACACGGGGCCTCAAAACAGGACCTTATTCCCTCTCCAAGCCGCTCGGGAAGACACAGCCGCATTTAGGAGAACCGAAGCCATCGCGCGCGCAGACGGGAGACCGAACGCGACTCGAACAAAAAGTCGCAACTCTACGTGCATGGTCCCTCGCGCTCTGCCGCAACTCCCAACCAGCCTGTATGCATGGTGCGGACCAGGCCTACGGGCGGGAGTAGGTGCTCGCGAGTGGGAAAGCGGTGGCGGGGAGAGATGTCGACAGTGGGATGCTACAATGTGATCAACTTGTGAAGGGCCTGGCCAACTTCACTCTGAAGCGCTTTGTGGGAGGTATCGACTGCTCTTCAGACACCGATATCTTTGATGCCCGTGTCACGAAGCAACGTCGCTGGACGGGCCATGTTCGATACAGGTTTCTTGGAGCGCTACTCGACTATCGTCTTGACGTCGGCATACGCACGGGGTGGCACCCAGGTTCTCCACGATCGTGGCGCTTTGCCATATAGTGGAATACAAGAATCTGCAGGTGACGCCCTTCTTCGAAGGGGAAGGGATACAAGTGTTGGTCCTAGAAGAGAAGCGTGCTGGATTGACGCTCGGGCCGGGAATCAACTCACGCAGATGAATGTCGCTTGAAGGAGCTTGAGTATAAGCGGGTTGTTCTTCGTGATACTCGATCGTGTAACCATAGCCATCATGGGTCCCTGTCGGATTACAAGGGCCACCGGCAGACCCGGACGTGCTCGGCAAGACATCAAGCAATGGCTTCTCTCATGAGCCACAGGCGCTCAGTGACGACCTATCCCAAGGATGAGGATCCACGGCACTCCCAAAGCTATCCACGCCCATCCGAGAACGGAAGCGAGAATGACAACCCTAAGCCCACTACACCTCTCATGATCATTCGTGATCCTTGACCAACAAATATATAAACCGGACCAGGCCATGTACATCTCGACAGCAGCTCCAGACGCACCTATCCAACCACTTAACGTCACATCGTAGACTACTACCCTGCAAACCGTCTCCATCACTACCATGACTGAACCTGCCCATATCAAACTCGAAGTCGTCGCTGAGATATTGAATAACTCGTCCTCTGCGGCCGGGGCTTCCTCCGCCTCTGATGACGACGGCGGGTCTTCCGCTGCCTCTGCCGGAGCGTCCGCCTCGGATGGCGGTTCCTCTGCATCGGCAGGCGCTGCGTCGTCGTCTTAACGGGATGCAGCTCGGCACGCTGGTCTCGTAACAACATTGCACGTATCGTGCGTATTCTGACATACACGTCTGTGCGCATTCACTGATCTTTGCTAAGAATCACCTGAACAAACGAGATGTGATGGGAGGATGGCAGTTCGTGAGCGACGTGCCCTGCAATCGTCTGTATACATAAATCCTGTCGATCGAGCTGTATATTGTCGTGTTAGGTGCACACGTTGCGAATGATTCCCCATTGAATTCTCTTTTCACACCATCGTGCATTACTACTTGGGTGAAAGCATCAAATACACAAGCTATAGGATGCCGGAGCTTTTGCGGGCGTTCGAGCCCGTGTACAAACCACTGCGAGTGGAACCAAGGCACGAGAGAGATCCATTCAATGGCTCCGAGGACCGACTAAGTATCTCGACGGCTTCATTGACGTCGGTGCTCAGTTGTTTGTACTTCTTCTCGTCGACGCGAGCCTACATATGGAATGAGGACCTAGTAGAGGACACAGGTAACAGAGAGCGTACCTTCTCGCGAGCACGCTTCACTTCGTCTTCAAGGCGTCCGACCTCCAGTTTCTTGCTAGCTAGCTCGCGCTGACGACTCAACGCAAGTGCTCGCGACTTGCGCAATTCCTCACGTGTGTTCCTCAGTTCCTCGTCAGTTTTCTCCTGTTTGCCCTGCGTGGTCTTGAGTCGTTTGCCGAGATCCTCGCCGCGTTTGGCGAGGTGCCTGTTGTCCGCACTGAGATCACTCTTGAGGTCTTGGAGCTCGCGTCTGAGCGCTTGTATGATTTCTGGGTATGTCTTTGAGGAGCCGGCCGGACTGTTGTCAGCCCGAGCGCTACGCGCCACCTCGTATGCGGAGGCCACGTTGGTGTCCAAGAACGACACCAACATACCGAGGAGTACGTTCTGGGATGGTTTCATCAGATTTCGTAGGATAATGGCCGACTGAAGGATGCCACCGACCTTGACGTTCTCATTACATCTCTCCGAGGCGAGGACCTCGAGCAGGCTGTCTACCACAGCACACACGTCCATATCAGATTCGGGAGTGAAGTCTTGAAGGTTTGTGCAGAACTCAAAGAGGTTGGGCAGTATCTCGATCGACATTGCAGACACTCGTCTACGTGACGGCGTGCCGCGTGCTATAGGGTTCCTCGGTTCAACGCTGACACAGACTGGACGAAGAAGGGAAGGTTTGATGGGACCCGCGCGGCAGGAAGGGCAGAGAGGGTTGGGACGATTGAGAACCTCTTGGATGCAGGTACCGCAGAATGTATGTCCTTTATTCACAATCAGATCAAACCAGGTTAACTAGGATGGCGTTGGGCGTACCGCACGGTAAGGATCGCAGGGTCTCGGGATCGTGCCACTCGTTCAGGCAGATTGCGCACGAGAACGAGACCATCTTGGTATAGAGCAACTCGCACGAGCAGCAATGTACGGAGACTGTGTCCTTTATACTGCCACTAGGATCCTCCACGCCCTTGGTGCATGCGCTTGCGCGATGACTCCCGCGTCCGTTTTCTGGGAACGTCCTTTTGATTGCATGTACAAGTGCCGAGCGCGAGTACGTCTCTACGAAAGGGTTGTAGCGAGGGCAAAGCAACCCATCCATCCGATCCTGAATCCGTGTCAGGCGACCGCAGGGTGTTCCTCCCGGAGAGAAGTTATCAGGCTATTCAGCTGAAAGAGCCCCATGTGCTTTGTCGGCCCGTGCGAGGATCTGATACTGATAGTCAATTGAGGCATCCGGGGACGTCAACATCGTGGTCAAGAGCAAGCAGCGGCCGTTGGCAATTGGTCCGGGGTTCGAGGTTCGGCAAACGCCGTTCACCCGCGAGCTACCGCGAACTCTCGTTTCCACCATCTTTGTATCTCTCCATGTACTCAGATTTTGCTCATAATACCTAGTCCCATCTCAACCCCTGTAAAGAGCTTGCCTGAAGACCCGCTAAGATGCCGTACGCTGTATTCGCAAGACCCAGCTTGCGCACTATCATGTTAAATACCAGTCAACATACATTAGAAGGGACAGGCACAGCACTCGTAAGAGGGAAGCCGAAGGGTACACCGAATACGTCGTCTATTACCAGAAACCGCCACCCTTACCGACGCGCGAATCGTAGGAGGTGCGGATGCTATTGCAATTTGGACGCGACCGCGGTAAAGAATTGTCGAGAGGCTCCGAGAATCTGGATAATGTCTTGACGGCGCCTTGAACATTGACATTCAAGTTCTTGTACTTCATCTCATTGACGCGTGCCTGATAAGATCCTGCATCAGAGCGTTGATGCGTACTGTGATAATGGTGAGGCGTACCGTCTCACGCGCACGCTGCAGCTCCGTTCTGAGACGATCTAACTCGCTCTGAGCATCTTCAAGCTCATCCAAGCGACTATAAGCCAGCTCCGTGGAATGGCGGTGCTCATTGCGAACGCGTCGTGCCTCCTCCCTGAGCTCTGCGAGCTCGTCCCGCGCATCCGTCAGCTGTTCGGCCAAATATGAAAGCGCCCTCCCATCCACTCGCAGGTCACGTATGGATCTCTCTAGCGCCTCTATTCTGCGCGATGAAGCGTCATTCGATGTCATACTTTCAGACCCGGCGCGCGTTTCGACGGTGATGTAGACGGGGCGGAGGTGGGAAGGCCGGATGGGACCTGCACGACAGGTGGGGCATTGCGGCCGGGGTTGCATGAGGAGTTCCCGGATACACGCGCCGCAGAAGATATGCCCTTGTTTGGGGTCAGAGCGAGTTTGTTGTGCGACTTGCAAAACGAGCGTACCGCATGCTAGAGACCTCAGGGTCTCAGGATCAGACCACTCATCCAAGCATACCGCACACGAAAAGAGGACCATGATGGTAGTTGACAATTGTCACAAGTATAACCTGAAAGGCATGAGTATCAGCAGGTATCAGCCTCCCTTTATACTGCCACTGGAGTCTGCCACGCCTTTGAAGCATGTACTGGTTCGGTGACTCGCGTGTCAATCTGGCACCTGTGTCTGCCTCATTGCATGCCTAAGTGCCGGTCACAAGTGCGCCTCGAGGAATGGCTTGTAGCCAGGTCATCACGAGCAGGAAAGGAAGTCCATCCACCCCGACCATTATCCACGTCAGCCGGCTGTAAAGTGGCTCTCTCGGACTGCAAAGCTGGACAGCTTTGCAATTGCACTGTCCAAGATCAGTGTTGGAGGTTCGTTCGCTTTGACGCGGCCTCCGACGCGTGACATCACACCCGACGCGTCTCGGTGACGAGACGCGCCCTGTATTCTAGGCCCCGCGCTGAGCGCGGAGGCATACTGACTGTTCTCTCTTACATACGTACGTACACGACTCGGCATTACCCGTAACCCTACTATACAGTTCTGCGTAGATTAGGGTTAGCGAGTAGTATATAAGCC